TTGTATTCATTTCATTTATTATCTTGTCTGAATATGGAGTCCGTATGGATTCGGTTTTGATGTATGAAAATTTTAAAATATCCTAAAAACTAATGTATCCGAAACATGTTTAGATACTTGTACCAAAAATAACTGTATTAACCGATTGGATTCGGATATTTGAATCTAAACTAAAAATAATCAAATAACCAAAATTAACCATAGTATCCGATTTGATTCATATTTAATTCTAATGTATAAGACTTACAAATATTTAATTAATTATATAATGACATATATAAAATATATAACTTAAATTATGAAAAACAAAATATTAATTTATAAAATTATAAAATTTAACACTCGCATGTATATGCATATCAATCTCTAGTACTGATTATTTTTTCATAAAAAAAATTGATTAATGATTTGACTTATTTGTGAAATAGTCTTAAAAATGATAGATTTTTAGATAAAGAAGAGAGAGATAGGAAGGGAAATGAGAGAGATGAGGATTTTAGTTAGATAGTAAATTACGTTTTTTGGTGTTATTAAACCTAATTTCCCTTAATAAAAACAGTTGCTCACTGGATTAGGGATGCTTCTTTGAACAACACAAGTTTCTGTTCCTTGGATTCTTTCGCACGTGATACAATTTGGCATTGTACTTTGTACGTGTATATAAGAGTTAAAACTTAAAACAACAAACAAGAAAAGGAGCAGAAATTGGAAAAAACGAAATTAAAGGACGATGATGGGAAAGAAGAAAACTAGTTAGAGACATCTCGAGTTCCAATACCAATGAAACCTCAAAAGCTAGTAAGAATACCCGCAATAAGGAGTTTTTAGGGGAAATCATTAGGGAAAAAGAAAAAGATGCATCTTGGATTATATAAGGATATTTTAGATTTTTGGTTTAAAAAAAAAAAAAGTTGACCATTCGCGTGCCGCCACATGGGCAGTAGAACCCACGAATAGTCTAAGTATCAATCCTTAAATAAAGATTTTAAAGATAAAATCCTTAACTGTTCATGAGACCCACTAATTATAAAATTAATATTTTCTAAAAATTTCCTCTAAAGACTCCTTGTTGCGGATGCTCTAAACTCTTTAGAAAAAAAAAAATTCAAAAGCTATTTCACTTTATATTTTACATATCTTTATAGACAACACTTATCTACATCTCATTTGTCCACGTTTTAAATTTCCCCTTTTGTCTTTCAAAAACATGGTGTACTACTAGTTCTCAATTTGTATGTCTAACAATCTATATTCTCTACATATAGTTTCTGATGCGTGTAGAAAACACTTTAGGTGGGACTAAGCAAACGGTATCACATGTGTCTCATAACTCATAAGGCTCATAACGTAGACACTTATGTTTATGTTTGCAAATATATATATATATATACATATATATATATATCGAATTATATATTGTCAATGTTTTCTAAAAATATATTAAATAGTTTTTACATGATAGTAATAAAAAGGAACGAGATATTCTAGGTCAGGTAAGAGTTTTGGTATTGAAGAGTCGCAAATTCCAATATGGACATTTGATAATTTTAATTTAGGGTCAGAATCAGCGAGGAACCAGTCATGCCCTTGCTTCTCATGTGCCCACAATGTTCTATAGGTCAGTGGATCCATTCTGCCTAACGGTTATGAGGAGCGTTGAACATTTTAGATGACTCGAAATCATGTCAATTTCTAACGAACAGGTAAAAACAAAACAAAAAACAAAAACAAAAACAAAAAAGACTTTGAAGAAAACTCAGACTTTAACAAATCATTAATTTCATGCCGTTTTGTGACATATGGTCGAGTTTGGGAGTGTTATGATACTATTGCCTTGGTGATCGATCTCTTCGAGTATATATTGGCTCTCGTCAGGCCCATTTGTCTCGCAGATCCCACATGCATATGCTTAACAGCCCGACCAATGTAACCTAGAAACCCCTTACTCCAGTGGCGAATCTAGAGTAAAATTTTTGTGGGGACATAAATAAATAAAAAGAGAAATATGTGGCTAGATGGAGGTTCCAACTGTGGTCTAAGGGGGGACAAGTAGTGGACTGAAACCATTATGCTACGAAAACCTTATCGTTTCATATGTAAATACATGTATTTTTTGATTTTTGTGGGGCAACTGCCTCCTACTTGGTGAACGTAGGTTCGCCACTGCCTTACTCCCCTCTCTATTATTTCCCTGTTAATATATTCAAAGATATTTAAGGAAATTTTAATATAGTCTGGCAATTTGCCAAAGTGTTACACCGGAGCACAACTCTATTTGGTTCTTTGTCTCTGTATGATAAAATCAGATGTAGTTTCCTGTCTTCCCTTTCTATACTTACCGGTAGGGGTGGGCACAGATCGGATATCCAAATTTTATAAGGTATTTTGTGATTTGATTCGAATGTTATGGATATTTAATTTTGGTATTTGTTTTGTTTCGAAAAAATACGGATATTCGGAAAAACGGATATCCAGAAAATAAATAGATATTTGTGGATATTTACGAATCTTTACGGATATCTCATCCATTTTGATTAATACAAATAATCTTAAAATTTTGATACAAATTTGTTTTGCAAAAATATTTTTTTGCATGATATATAAAATAAAAATTAAAATAATTAGTGAATTTACATATTTTGTAATTTTTAAGTTTAAGTTAAAATTATAATTACATAAAAAACTTTAAAATATATAATTTTCGTAAATTTTTTCCTTTTTATATAATACCTTTATATAAGTAATAATGTAAATAGAATTCTTCAAAATCATGTGATAGAATAATAATTATATAATTTTATACATTTAAAATTTTAAATATTATTAAGATATAGATATATTTATATATTTCCGGATCAGATTGGATATCAGCTTCCCACAATTTTAATATTTGTGATTTGATTCGATTTTAACGGATATTGATTTTTAGTATTTGCTTTGATTCGAAAGTTTACGAATATCTAGAATTTTCGAATCGAATCGAAACAAATAACGAATCAAATCAAATTTAACGGATAAAATGTCCAACCCTACTTACCAGGTAATACCAACATGCAACTTGAAGCACTCCCTGATGAACAACGACAATATATTTACACATATCAGGCTCATTGATATAATATGATGAAGACTTTAACTTTTAAATCCAAATATCACTCTTTTTTTTTCCTATACATGTAACTCTGTTTAGACATTCATTTTAGTCACTATTTGAACACCAGACGTCATCTTAATTCGAAAACAAGAAGATCGGATAATAAACCATATGGACAAAGTTCAGCTGTAGACAGAGCCAAAGCCAATATGTTCGTGAACATGTTTCATCTTTGTTAAAATCAACTAAAAAGTATAAAACATATAATCAAAACCCATGGGGTGTGTATTATACCTATCGATCAGTTTCACTCTCACCATATTCAACTTTACTTCCCTAAAGTTCAAAAGTAAATCTATCATTCATATTATATTGCAAGGCCATTATAAATCCGACTTGTACTTCATGAAAACGTGAGAAATCTCAACTACAGTATACAGGAAAAATAATACATATATAATGCGTCAATTATCAGCTCTTTGTCTAATATGATATATATGTTAAAGCCAACAAGTTACTATAAAATTGTTACTCTTTTAAGTCTTTCTAATGATACCAACCTGGCAGTTAAAGATTTGTATGATAATTAGAAGAATACATAGCACTACAGATTGTAGGGGAAAAAGAACTTAGGTGAACCACAACTTTCTATCATCAACTGGGTCTTACTCCCTAACACGCAACTTCATTCTGTTAATCCGTGACAAATTAGTTATCAATCAACATAAAACAGTGACTAAAAGTTACTGAGAACTCCCAATACGATTGTCTCCACATGACTATGTAGATCTATATATACAAGTGAAACTCATACATTTATACTTCATATTTAATCAAAACCGCATATTATTATCATATAAAGTATTAGTACATAATATAAGGTTTCTACAATGATCAAGAAAATGCCAATAATAAAAGTATGTAATCGGTAAAATTCGATGGCACTGGGTGCTTTAATGTAACATTTATCTTTGTGGGTTGGTATGCATCTTCGTAATTGATCACATGTCACATATGAAAAATAAACCTTATCAATAAGATGTAAAACAGATAAGATAATATATAATATGGTTCGTGAAACATCCATCACAATCACGCAACTTCAACTTTTGTTTTGTTGCCCATCTTCATCTTTCTTTTTTCTTTTAATAATATCAGGATCCATCTACTTTTTCCTTATAATATTATCAGGATCCATCTACTTTTTCTACTCCACTATTTTCTATCTTCACCAAATCAAGTAATACTTATCCCAACCATATTTTATCGGGAATAAAACAAAGCCATCGCTAATCATATTATTGATACCACGTTTGAGCTGTAATCCATTCCAATCGCTAAAGATATCAGACTGAAGATAATGACTACTATTCCTTATCTAACCAAATATTATGAATGATTAATAAATCTTAAGTGTGCGTAAGGGGGAGAAGACCAAAGGCGGATCCAGCCGATGATTTAAGAGGTGTCAAAGCCAGGATTGAACACTAGTTTAGGGGTATCAATTGACAATTTCTACCAGAATTGCATCAAATTCTCACTGTTCTTAAGCATATTTTTCAGGTTTTATAAATTTATGGGATGTCACATGACATCCCTTCTCTCTGAATGGATCCGCCACTGGAGAAGACTCAACAAAGTTAAAACACACACCGATTCTAATAACTTATATGTGGACAAGCATCAATATACACATGTACTACAACATTATCTCTGCTTCATTATCTATTTCGAGACAGAGTTTGAAATAAAAAAATCAATTTTATTTATTTTTATTTATAATAAACTAAAAAAATACTACAATAAAGTATAATATTTTTTTTTTCATCAAAAATGATATTAAAATTAGAGTAAAACTTAATTTAACTATAAAATTACTCATTTTTAAAATGGAATAATACATTGTGAATGTTTTTATGTGACTGATATGTCCAATCATTTCCAGAAAGAAAAATAAAAGAGACATTGAGAATACATAAATTGACTATTGAACATTCTTATTTACAGTCATAAACACTATCTCATTGATATGGAATCTTTAAGACACATTCTAAACCACAGAACACTCTCTGCTTCACAAATTGCAACAACAACACACAAATAATGAAAAGACTCATGTCTTTTTACACAATCCAAACGATACCCGTTAAGAATCAAGAACCGAATCTAGAATCCAACAATACTTTTTTTCAGACAAGAACTTAAACACACAAAAGATTTAAACAGGTGTAGAAGTCCAGAAAATGTCTTTGAGAGCTGGTCTAAGAGCATTACTGCAAAAGTTATAATACTCAAGAGTGTCTCCATGATCTTTCTTCACCTCCACGACAACAAACGACGGAGCCACCGCGAATATCTCCGCCTCCACCGCCAACTTCCCTTTCCGACCATTCTGTTTCCCTTCCATCCTCACTCTACTCTCACTCTTCCTCACATCAAACTTATCCCCAACTCTCGCAGCTTCCTCAAGGCTCGAGATGACACTACTCGCGGGGCGAGAAGTCGCGAATCTCATCTCTCTCTTCTCCTCTTTCTTCTTCTCCTCAAACAAAGGCGAGAGATCAAACCCTTCGGACAACGCTATGATGTGAAACGCGTTTAACGTCTCCGTCTCTTCCTTGGCCTTATGAACAAGATCCTCAGCCTTTTCGACAATGGCTGAGGATCTTGTTGCGGGTTTCTTGAACCAAGCCGAGTCCATAACCTTATCGATACTGATTCGGGTATTCGGATTCGGATCCAGAAGCTTCGTGACGAGCTTTCTTGCATCAGAAGAAAACCATCCAGGACACTTGAAGTCTCCTCTATAAATCTTCCTATACATGTTCACAAGATTATCATCTTGAAACGGTAAGTACCCAGCGAGAAGCACAAAGAGGATCACCCCGCAAGACCATAGATCCGCCTTAGCTCCGTCGTATCCTTTCTTCAAAATAACCTCCGGCGCAACGTACGCCGGAGTTCCACAAGTGGTATGAAAAAGCCCGTCTTGCTTCAAATGCTCAGTTAAAGCAGAGAGACCAAAGTCAGTGACCTTAAGGTTGCCTTCCTCGTCAAGCAACAGATTCTCCGGTTTGAGATCACGGTGATAAACTCCACGGCTATGGCAGAAATCAACGGCGGAGATTAGCTGTTGGAAGTAGACGCGCGCCACGTCCTCGCGTAGCTTTCCTTTGGAGATTTTGGCGAATAGCTCGCCGCCGCGGACTAGCTCCATGGAGAAGTAGATCTTGGATTTGCTGGCCATGACCTCGTGGAGCTCGACGATGTTTGGATGCTTCACCATGCTCATCACTGAGATCTCACGCTTGATCTGCTCCACCATGCCGACTTTTATAACTTTCTCCTTGGCCACCACTTTCATCGCTACGCTTTTGCCGGTTGTTATGTTGCGTGCGTGGTACACTTTCGCGAATGTTCCGTGCCCTAGAAGTTTACCTAGCTCGTAACGGCCGTGGAGAAGCCCTGTGCTTCCAACACCCTCGGATCTATTCTCCATCGTTTTCACCGGTTTAGCTCCGACCATTTTTTTTGTTCTTTTTTTTTACAAATTTTTAAACAAGAAAAGAAAAATGATTTACGCTTTCGATCGCTGGTGTTTTTGAACTAATCACCCGTCCTCGACGTGTTTCCGGTGGCAGTTTCTGCCGCCGACAGATCGGTTAAACCGATCACACAGCTTAGTCTTGACCGGCGAATCTCCGACCATCTTTCTGCATTCCCTTCAATGAGTTTTTTTCTCCTTTTTCTCAAAATCAGTAGAAGAGAGAGAGAGAAGATCTAAGTAAAACACGAAACTAGTTTTAGAGATTAAGCCTTGTTCTTGTTTTCTTCACCGGACAAAAGCAGAGAAAGAGTTGTCTTTATATAGATCTTAACGACTGTGTTATTACGTATGTGCCCTTACTAGTAGTGATAACTACACCGTTTACTCTAGGGGTGGGCACAAACCAAATACTTGCCATTTTTTGCTTACTTGGTACTTGGCTTGGCTTGTTCGAGTAATAAAATTTTGGGCTTGTACTTGATTTATTAAAAACAAGTACTTGCACTTTCAAGTACTTGCTAAAAAATGGTATACTTGCAAGTACTTGCTCCATTTTATTGCATCTCAACTAATTTATAAATGATTATATAATTATTTATAAATTGTTTAATAAAAGTTTGTTAACGTTTGCTACTTAAATCTTGTATATGAATTTAAAAACATTTAGTTAGTTATAATTATAATCTAAACAACTTTTAATAAAGAATATCTATTTACTTTTCATATGTTTATAAATCAATATTTGATAAATATAAAATTAAAAGAAAACTTTAAATATTTCTATAATATATCACTTTTAATTTATTTGCTTTATAAACAAGTAATTTTAATTATAATTTAGAGATTTGTTTGTCTAAAAATAAAAAACGGGTAATAAATCAAGTAATAAATCACGAGTAACAAGCCAACAACGCCAAGTAGTTATTTTTATTTTAGTACTTGGTACTTGTCTTGTACTTGCAAGTAATTGAAACAAACGACTTGATACTCGACTTGGACAAAACGAGTACTCGACTTTAAGAGCCAAGTACGAATCAAGTAGCGAGTACAAGCCGAGTAACAAGTAATTGTGCCCACCCCTAATTTACTCTTCGTTCATTTTTTTTTTTTTTTTTTTTTTACTCTCCGTTCATTGGCCCACAGGTGTTTGGGAGACTTCCTTGTGGCGGCTTCGTGATTATCAAAATATTTGAGAGGGACGTTTCCTTACACTACCGGTTCAGATAACGATTTACCATTCTACACCGGCTAGTGTTTGATACTCTCTATACGGTAGACATTTCTTGGAAAGTTGCATCTACGCTGTATGTATAACATGCATATGTTAATAATTGAGGGAAGTATTTTAGTTAATCGCTAATTTTCTGTAACTATAAAGATGAAAAAATATTTTATTTTATTAGTATATTGGTATCATGGTGTAGGAGGACCTGGTAAATTTTCTTAGATTCATACATTTTTCTTATTTCTTTCAAATCGTTTTCGTTTGTTGTGGTCCTTGTGGACCATTATGTACAGTGAGTCTAGTATTATCTACTTCACCTTTTTCTTATTTTTGTACACGAAATGTCAAGTTCTTTTAGCTAGTTTATGTGGAGACTAGTTTTTGAAATGGATAGCTATCGGATTTTTTTTTTTATAAAATGTCGCTAAAATCTGAAAATTTGGTTATTTGAAAATCAACATGTCAAAGGATATTGAACTGTCAATATATATTTCAATAACGTTTAAAAAATTATCAATTAAGAGACTATGAATCGATCGAAGTTGATTAAAAAAAAAAGAGACTATCAATCCATATGATGTTTTGTGTTTTTGCGTATAAAGTCCACATACACAAAAGAAAATAGGTATACTGTCATACTTGCATATTTACATATCATATAACTTTCTATCATACTTCCAAACGCTTCCGTTCATATCATCATAAGTGCATCATATATTAGCCACCCAAATTTCCCTACACATATACAGTTTCTTCTAACTTAATTTGTCCACGCCTCACGGTATCTATTTTGTCAGGTGGTTGCGCCCTGACTACAGTCACTAGACTACACTCGTACTGCAGTTAGCAATTAACACAAAACAACGTGCGATTAAAGCAGTTTGGAAAGTCGATCGCACTCGAACCGCTTTCTTTTTGTAGGTATTAATCAAAATATCAACCAAAATATTTATTAACAAGCAACTTGCTTGTGCATATTCGCATTCACGAGAGTCGTTCCATTGCCTTCTGTTCTGCTTTCTCTGTTGCTTCTCGTTAATAATTTATCTGAAACACTTGCACATACACACGAGAAGAGGTAGTATAAAATATTTGTACCATTATTGCTGGCATGCATGGGAAAATAACCATATTTAAATCAACACTGGCGTTTTCAATGATGTTATAATAGTGGTTTGTTTAAGTAATTTATTGTATCACTATTATTTGAAGGTCAAATGATTTTGATGATCTTGACATTAATTTACTCAGACGAACATGAATGAGCATCATCTCCAACTCTACCGATCTAAACTTTTAAGTCTGTTGCCCAAAAAGAATTTTTATGTCTCCATGAACGCTGTACCTTTATAAATATCCATTGGTGCATACTCGATGGAAGGCGATGGAGTAGATCAACTTACTAAATTAAAGCATTGGAAAATTAATGTTCGTTGCAGAAACTACTAACATTTAGATGGAGGGCAAAAATAAGGGAGCGTTCATAGCAATGACCCAATATTATTACTAGCATCAAGTATAACATTCTTAATTTGAATAATACGCACAATTCCTCAACAATTAGTTGCATACTAGCAACATTGTTTCATCTCTAAAGAAAACTACCCCCTGCAAGCACTGTACTTTTGAATCATGTTATAGTAGTTAATTAATGCTTCTATTGGAATTGTTTGAATTCTATAGAAAGTATAGTTCTTAGGAAGTATAGTTTTCGTTTGTTGTTTTTGTGTGGATACCAAAAAGCTCATAGCAAAAATCACAAAAGAAAATGAACGAGACAGTATTCTAGTAATTATCTTGCTTGTCTAGTTTAAAGGAAAAATCTTGCTTGTCTAGTTGTTTCTACTTATGTAAACATGCCTATGAATTTTAAAGCAGCTAGAGTGAACCTACACAATCCTGCAACCTGGTTAAACAATTACATGTTCCCGTGCTAGTTTAACAGGAAGAAAGGGGAGAAGCAAAAACAAAAACAAAAACAGTTGCAAAGAAACAAAAGATGGACAGGCATTTGCTGGTTCAGGTTTTATTACATGATGACGTCACCATGGGACCAAAATAAGATATTCTCTTACAGTTTGGTTGGCGGTGTCTTGTCTTATTGTCCCTATGGTGAGTCCATTTCTGTGGCCAACATTCATGTATCAATCAATATTCAAGTATAACTCAATTTTCCGAATTGTGATCCTTAAGACCCATATATGTGAGTATATAATGAAACATAAATTATCACTTTGGGTCGTATTTAGTTGCTAGTCCGTTTTGAGATGATTGGCGATGATATGTTCACCAATGCGATCAACTAAGTTAAGAAAATGAGATGAGAACTTTCCTCGAACACAACAATCTTTTTGTCTAGCTTCGAACATAACAAGTCTCGTTTTTTTTTTTGTCGACTCATAACAAGTCTCGTTAACAACGCATGTTTCTTGATTTATAAAGAAATTTATAACACACACACCCTCATTTTATTTCTTTTCGACTAGATTATTTTCTATAAATATGTCAACTTTGGGTTCTGCTTATAAAATAACAATTTGTTCCTATAGTTTTAGATTGATTATAAATAAAGCTGCACAGACGATTGATCAGAACATGTATATGTATATATTATATATATATAGCAAACTTTGCTATTTTGTTGTAAGATTGGAATCCAAAAGACATCTTCATTAGTAAGTCTTTAAAGAATCACTCTTAGATAAAAAATAAATACTTCCTATATTCCTAAAAGATGCATACTTTTAATAGAAAACATAATAAATTTTAATAATAAATATATTATTTTCTGAATTTACCGATTCTCCATAATTTTATACCAATATTATTTTAAGAAATATAAATCCTTTCTTCAAATCTACAATAGACTATTATTAACTAATAAAACTTACATAGAAAATTTCAAATATAATTTTTTTATGAAACCAAAAAATATTTTAAAACATGTACTCCCTCCATATGCGAAGGATTGGTGTTTTAGATTTTGTCATCGTATTTGAAAATCAATGTTTTAGAGTTTAGTTAATGCACTTATCTTTAAAACTATAACATCAGATACAATGTAAGAAAATGAATGGTGAAACTTTATTGGTAAAACTCAAAAAATGATAAACAGACTAATATATTTAGTATTTTTAATAGGTGTAAAATAGTCAAAACATCAAACATTTGTATTTAGAAAGATTATTTTCTAGTAAAGGAAGGAGTATAATAAATTATCATGAGTAATAATACATATGAAACAGGAGGACACATGGAAAATATTCAGTTTAAACAAGAAGCAGAAAAGAAATTAGCAATACTTCAATGACTTTTCTATTAATAAGAAACTACTAATTTAAGGATGCAGATCCATTTTTACAGCCGACGTAACCGTTTGGTGCGTCTTAACTCCATAATTTCTTTTCATTTTCCTGTTGAAGGATCATCCTAAACCCAGAAAAGCTCACCCTTTAAACAATCTCATTTTCTGATTCTTATCATTTCTTCAAAATATCAATATAAAATTAAATAAACAAGGAAAGAGGATCTCTAAGAATGTTGAATCTAGCAACCTTAGGGAAGGTCACTACGACCATCATGTTGTTGATGGTCATGGCTAATGTTTTGGTTGGAGCTTCGGACAACAACGTGGTGTACAGTCCATGTTCAGACACTCAAATAAGCAAAGGGGATGGTTTCACCATAGGTGTTGCAATCTCAAGCAAAGAAGCTTTCTTCCTTGACCAAGTCCAGCTTTCCCCTTGCGATTCTCGTCTTGGTTTAGCTGCGAAAAAGGCACAGCTGGCGCTTTTTAGACCTAAGGTGGACGAGATCTCTCTTCTCTCCATCGACACAAGTAAGTTTGACCCGGTAAGTACCTCATTAATGTCTATACGATGACGTAATCTCAATGAGCCACAACCACAAAAAAACTAAAGAATTATTGTGGATGTTGTTGTTGTCGTCTTGTGAAAAGAGTGAAGCAGGAGGACACATGGTTGGGTTCGCAGGCTCGAAGTACGCAGCAAGATCTTATCCCGTGAAGGTCGCTGATGGAAGCCACACAATCACATCTTTCACACTTGTAATGATTAAACCTTAAACTCTTTTCAAAACGAACAACATAACCAATAGAGCATTATTTGAATCGCTGAACTTGAAACTGTATTGGCAGGTGTTGGAGTTTCAGAAGGGAGTGTTACATAATCTTTTCTGGAACAACTTCGGATGCGACTTGTGCAAAGGAGGATCTTCTTCTGTGTGTCTGAATGGGACGGATTGTGCAGTGCCAACATCAAAATGCAAGGCTAATGGAGGTGGAGCTAATTGCAACATCGGAATCCAGGTGGCGTTTTCAGGGACAGACAAGAACCTTGAGTCATTGAACTCATGGTACGAGGTGAGCAACCTGAGGCAGTACTCTCTCACCGACCTCTACGCAAATGCTGTAAATTCTCTGAGTGGAGGGCTTCTGTAAGAAAGAGACTTATAAAGAGTAATGCAGAAGCAGGTACTATGTAACTGAAGTTTCTGAGTAGATTTTTTAACTATCATGGCTTACACAAATAACTTGCCCTCCAAGTTCACCAAGCCAAAATTTACATTTCTATGGGTCAAATAACATAATACAAACTCAACAATATTCTTTCAACAAGAGCTATTTAGTTACAAATCTACACGAGTACAAGTGGAATAAAATATGAATCATGCATACCATTCATTCAGTTTTTGTTTCAATATTTCACTTATTACATACTTATCAATTATTCATTGATTTTGGATATAAACTATCAAATTATGTGAATGAATGAGTTAAAAAGAAAAAAAAAGAGTGTTAATGTGAGGTGGCAAAGGATAATAAAAAGTTTTTCTTAAAAGAAGTTTTTTTCTAGACCACACAATTTGGAGTGAAATCATTGCAATACCATAGGTAAATACTAACAAGCGGTCGAAAAATATCACATGGAAGGTCTGCATAAAATCAATAATGGTGTGCGTTTGGTTCTAAAAACTACATTTTTATATACCATTGATTATGATAAGACTTCAAATAAACGAAAGTAAGTTTTTAAACTAACAATAGTGAGTCGGTTAAAAGTGAGTTCATGAGATCAACATCTTCAAAGCCAATATCATTTCTTTGATCAAATTATATATCAACTTTTAACCACTGGAGGATCCAGTAAATGTTCAGTGTGTGGAAATAGAGGACTAATATTCAAATAAATATGTGTCTATATACAAAGACCAATATTATTTTTGGTTTTAACTATTACAAACTCCAACTTGGGTTTTCTGTCATAAAATAATATTTGCTATTTGACCTTCAGATCTATTGATGGTCGTAGCCACTTGGATGTTGGTCTATGCCCTTTGGTTAATTAATACTAAGTTTTTGATCTTTCCTTAAGACTTTTGAAGAAGGTTGTCTCTAGAATTTTGAACATTTTAGGCGTTCTTTACCTACATGTTAACAATTCATTTTATTACATAACTAGAATGATATATATGACAGTAACAAAATAAGCATCAGATGAAAAGAACTCTACCAATACAGTGAAGAAAAAAATTTAATCAAGTAGTCAGAAATGGTAAAAAGTAAAAACAAGGTGTGTTAACTTACATTTTTATTTAAAAATTAAGAATACCAAGAAAATTTATAGTTTTGTAACTTAAGAGTATGATGTGTAGTTTGTTTGTCAAACCAACTGATTTGGCCACTCTGTAATTTGTATACATATACTTGATTGGATCTACTTGACACATTTTCTTTTTAGTTATTCAGTACTCGGCCGAATCTATATAATAATAGTTCATTTTAGAGGCTCTTCAACGCGCCACGTCAGCTGTTTTATGGATCCCATAGATATTTTTTAAACATTTATAGTCTTGGTAAGATGATCACAAACAATGAAATACACTTTAGCCAAGTGGTATAAGGTATCTAATTAAGTATGCAAGATCGTGGGTTCACACCACGCAGCTATCATATATTTTTGATTTTTTTTATTTGGATTATTATCATATGGGTTTTTTGTTTATAAGGTTTTTATGTTTTTTTTTTGCTTATTGTTTTAAAGATCAAAATAGTTGGATAAACCCTAAATCTTAACAAATTCAAACCCAAAATAGTTAAAAATTAATCCAAAACGAACAATAAAAAAAAAACAAGTCTCACGCAGTTGCCTACGCGGATGGCTTAAATAGCCTTAAAACTATTCTATTATAATATAGCTCAACCCAATAATAATAATAAATAAATCCAAAAAACAAATAAAAAAGTGAATTCCACGCGGCTGCCAACGTGGATGACTTTATATAGATTAAGAGCTCAATAAGTTAAATCATTGCACATATTTCCTAATATATATTTTCAAAAAAATTGTATGTGAGATAAAATAAAAAAACAACAAAAATTAATTATTATCATTATTTATTAAATGAATATGTAATTTCTCTTACATTTTAATAACTACTATAATTTCATTGAAAACATTCCTCACCACCGATTCCAGACTCCGGCGAATGGATTCCCACAGTCGATGACGCCGTAGATAAAAATGCCACATCATTTATGAACAAAACTCAAACTTACAAAAAACCATATATAAAAATCTATCTAATGAAACTTAATCAACGAATATTAACTTAATTAAAGTTATTTCAAATTGATAAATCGTTTGATACAAATATAAATACTATAAATATAGAATTATATCAAGTTTTTATCTACGATATAAAAACTATTTACAGCAAAAAAAAACACCTACTTTTACACACTAAAAACTATATTATAGCCTAACTATTCCTATAAACCTTACTTCGCATATAAATAACATTTAACACATTCCTACTATATTTTCAAAAAATTTGTATGTGAAATAAAATAAAATAAACAACAAATTTAAGTATTTTTCGTTATTTATTAAATGAATATGTAATTTCTCTTACATTTTAATAACTACTATAATTTCTTTGAAAACATTTCTCACCACTGACTCCAGACTTCGACGAATGGATTCCCACAGTCGATGACTCCATAGATAAAAATGCCACATCATTTATGAATAAAATCCAAACTTACAAAAAAACATATATAAAAACCTATCTAATGAAACTTAAACAACGAATATTAACTTAATTAAGGTTATTTTCAAATTGATAAATCTTTTAATACAAATATAAATACTATATATATATAATTATACCAAGTTTTGACATACGATATAAAAACTATTTACTGCAAAAAAAAAAAAAAATAGACACTTACTTTTACATACTAAAAACTATATTATAGCCTAACTATTCCTATAAACCTTACTTCGCATATAAATAACATTTAACACATTAGATATACAATATTTTCACTTTACACTCTTACTACATTCTTTCTATTTCTTTATTATTTGGTGTCATTAGAAGAATCCACTAAACCAACAATCGAAAAAAATACACGCAAACATAATGATCCCGGCTCCGCACTTGCGCGGGGGTATGCAACTAGTTATCAAAATCGCTCAGTTTCACATATGTACTCGCAACACTCGATTAGCTATTGGACTAGATCTTTTCTTCATTCAGTTCAGTTGGGTTCAGCCTTTTCTTAAAAGCCCATTTCCCGTAGGAGAGAAAAAAGAAGAAGAACAATTCACCCATTTAAAGAAAACTTTTTCTGATTCCTATCTTAATAATTTTCAAAGCTCAATCATTTTTAAAACAAATTCAAATTTAAACAGCTAAAATTTACAACTTTTTATGTTACGTTTGTTTTCAAATTTTCATTTGTGATTTATGGATAATATATTTTTTTGGGTTTTTAGGTTGTAATTAAACTGAGCTTTTCACAATACACACATATGTATTCTATTTATTTCATTTCTATATTTTACTAAATAATGTTTACAAAATTTATTAGTTTCTGTGCATCCACTAACGCACATAAAATTGACAAATCTAACTAGGCATGAGGATTTGGGGTCTCAATCAGGTTTTGGTTTTGTCCAATTAGTTCCTCGATTTAAAATATCTGATTTTTACCTATTTTATAACCAAAAACATAAATGAAATTTATTCAAAAATAAGAAAGAACACCAAATGTCTTCATTCAAAATCAAAAGAAAAGTAAATATAGTTATTAATAGAAAGAAAATCAATAAATGAAATCATAAAACGAAAATTAATTTATCAATGAGACTTTTAGATCATAAAATCCATACTCAGTATTTTGTAGATATCGAGAGTTCAATCAGGGAAGACAAATGATGTGGGCAACGATGTTCTTAAACATAACGATACAATCGGACTTCGATTAACAAAAATGAACTTTTATTGAATATGGAATTCGTTTACAAAGTGATTAATCGGATCGGAAATAACAACAAAGAATACAAGAAAGCGAACTAAAAATCTAAAGAATGAGGTTGATTGATTAGTGAATAGCTCTAGGTTTTTTCTCGTGTGTGTTGAATGTCACTCTAGCTCTCTTTTTATACTCCTTTCTTCCTCTAACTGTTTCCACGATCTTCGGGATCTCATATTGACTTCGCAGAGCTTGGTTTGATGTCGAGGTAGTGATAATCTTGGATGGGCTTGGACCTACTCAGATAGGTGCCGAAAATTGGGTCTAACAAGACTCATGAAATGAGAAACACTGTTAAATGAAAACAAAATCTAAATCTAAAAAAAACAAAGTTTTAATCGCTACCTTCAACCATCAACCTTCATATAATAGACAATTATTTTAGATATTTAATAATATCTTAAAATATTTTGGATACATATTAGGAATTGATATTATGTTTGGTACAAGTTCTTTTTTGAGATTTTGAATGTTTCGGGTTCTATCGGATATCCATTTAAGTTTAGATTCAGTTCGGATAATAACCATAACCCGAAATACCATAAAATAAGATCCACTTGGTATTTATGTCGGGTTTAGATCGATTCAGATATTTTTATTTATCGGATCGGAATTGGATTCGGTTTGGATTTTGGGTCTAGTTTATTTGTCCAGCCATAAATCTAACAAACTCAAGCGCATACTCAACTCGAAACCAATCAATCAACCTTAGCCGTAAACATGCATGTTTTTCAGACATTTAATAGATTTCGTTGTCAAAAGCTATAACTAAATATCCGATCAACTTTGGCTCATAATTATGGACTTTTCATGCATTTGGTAACTTTTGAATCGTTTTGTAGCTGTGGACGGAAGAGAAAAAGTGTCTACTCTACTCTCATCTCTCGAGTAATTAATTTTTGGATGGAGTCCACATAAACCTTAGATTGATTTTCGGTTTATACTTTTTGCATATAATAATAAAAACATTATTTGTTAACTCTAACAAAATTCTTGTCTTTTTCAGTTTGTCAAGAAGAATTTGTTGTATATATATGATGTGCATTTATCACTCGTAACGCATGTTTTCTATGAAGCTCAAAACAAATTAGTGATCCAAAAACACGTCAATTTGATGACATCAAAAGATTATCACGTCACTTGTAGTTACAAGTTGTAACGTATATTACTCTCTACTGCCAACAAAACGTATACTATTTTCTTTACATACGAGAACAAGAGAGAAGCGTGTCCTTTTATTCGACCTCAAAACAGAACATAGTCAAATTATTCACGGTCAATATATAATTTTATCCACTTGCCAGCCATGTTTTTTTTTGGTTTAATCAAAATTTCTGTTGAGATTTTGGAATTTTATTTTCATTTAAAATTATAAATTCTGAACTTATCGGTTTTGCATTTCGTTATTTTGAGTAAGCAAAATCATTTATCTGAAAACAATAACAAAATCCCCCAACTTATTAACGAGTTCTCATGCTATCACCCGCAAATATGCAGTTTTTGCGGTTGGTAGCGGTTGTTGGTGTTTTGCAACAATCACAAAAAATGATATAAACCGGTTTAAATCGTTCTGAATCTCTAAAATTCAAAAGTTGATTCCAGTTAGTGTTTGCGGTTGCGGACGACTACAGAAGAATAAAAAATATTTTTCTCCTGAAAACTATATAAATATAAAAATAAAATATTCACTTGAAATTTTAAATTAAAATACCAAAATATTTATATTATAAAATTTCGAAAAAAATGTTTCTTTAATTTTTTTTAAATTAATAGTAGTTAATCAATAAAAATTTTATATTTATTATAAAAATATGATTTTAATATTTTGATAATTATATAAAATATAAATATTGTTAATTTATTATTTAACCGCTGATATATTTAAATAAACTAATCATAAGTATCCTGCAAACGCAACAACTTTTAACTGTTGAATCAGTCAACTAAATCTTTTACTAATGCTTAAAACCATAATCTTCTGCAACCACAATCGCTGCGTTGTAACTAATCAAATCCTTAAAATTCACGGTTAATATGTAAGTTAACCCCATTAAACCTGAATTTTTTTGGTTATATTAAAGTTTGCTGTTGAGATTTTGCAATTTAATTTTCATTTGGAATTAAGAATTCTGGAGTAATCTTTTAACTAATTCTGTCTTTTGCTAATATAAATCATTTTCTTTTTCTTGCGAAAAAATAACAAAAAAACCCCAACTTTAAATTGTGGAAGTTCACTTCCGCTGTGAACTTGAAGAGGTGAGAGGGCTATTCACAGCCATTCAATCCCTTAAGAAAACCATTTGCAGAGAAACTCTTGTGGGTTATTCTTCTTCTTCTTCTCCTCTCCATGGCTTCGAGAATTGCAGATTCTCTCTTCGCCTTCACGGTACTCTTTCTTCTAAAGGCTTCACCTTTAGCACTCTTCTCTCTTACCCATCTCTTCAACTTGAGTTTCCCATACTCAAATTTGTTTCTTTGCTATTGTTTTCTCAGGGCCCACAACAATGTCTTCCTAGGGTTCCTCAAGTTGCTCATTCTCGTCTTTCTCCAGGTACTCTCATGGAGTTTCAGTACAATGAAAACATCGATTCATTTCCTTAGAAATAATCACAAAGAATGTGACTTTGGGGTTTTACATGTTCTTTGGTCTGTAAAGTTTTAGCTTTTACTACATGGGTTTGCTTGTGTTCCTCTTGCTGTCACTTCTTGTGGGTTTTGTTATGTGAATGCAGAGGAGCTAATGTAGTGAACCATTCTGTTGTGTTGGTGGGTGCATGATGCAGGTGTGTATGCTGTGAGACCTATTGATCTTCTGTTAAAGGGAAAGACACATAGAAGGAGAACGTTCTTGGTTCCTGGGAAGAAAAGGGTTGGATGTATAAAAGCGGTGGCTGTTCCAGCAGCACCTCCTTCAGCTGACAGTGCAGAAGAGAGGGAACAGTTAGCAGAAAGCTATGGGTTCAAACAAATTGGACAAGATCTTCCTGATAATGTCACTTTAAAAGATATCATGGATACTCTTCCCAAAGAGGTATATATAGCTTTTAAAAGATTTTTTTGTTAGTTAATTGTTTCTGATATGATTCTTTTTCTCCTTCAGGTGTTTGAGATTGATGATGTGAAAGCTTGGAAGTCTGTGTTGGTATCTGTGACTTCCTACGCGTTGGGGCTCTTCATGATTGCCAAAGCTCCTTGGTATCTGCTTCCCTTGGCTTGGGCATGGACAGGAACTGCTGTTACAGGGGTAAAAGCTCTCAATCATCCACTGTCTCCTCTGTATGTGGCTATGTTACTTAATTTTGTCTAAGGGAATTCTTCTTTCTTGTAGTTCTTTGTGATAGGACATGATTGTGCTCATAAATCATTTTCAAAGAACAAATTGGTTGAAGACATTGTGGGTACTCTAGCCTTCCTACCTCTCGTATACCCCTATGAGCCATGGAGGTTTAAACATGACCGTCATCACGCCAAAACCAACATGTAACATTTACTTACTTGCTTACTTAACACTGTTATAGATATTCACAATGGGATAAGAGATTAACCGTCTTTGGTGACTTTGTTCTCTCTATAGGTTAGTTCATGACACAGCTTGGCAACCAGTTCCACCAGAGGAGTTTGATTCATCACCCATTCTGCGAAAAGCGATCATTCTTGGATATGGTCCAATCAGGCCTTGGTTGTCTATAGCTCACTGGTATATATATATACAACAAGCTTTTACTTTTTAAGCAGTGATTCTATTTACTTGTTTTTTTTTAACGATTGTGAGTGTTTAATTAGGGTGAACTGGCACTTCAACTTGAGAAAGTTCAGACCAAGCGAAGTGAATAGGGTGAAGATAAGTTTGGCTTGTGTTTTCGCCTTTATGGCCGTTGGGTGGCCACTGATCATATACAAAGTTGGCATATTGGGATGGGTGAAGTTCTGGTTGATGCCATGGTTGGGCTATCACTTTTGGGTAAATGCTTCTCTCTTTTTTCTTATGAGAAAGCATCTGAAGCCATAAGGTTTACTCATTTGTTGTTTCTCTGTAGATGAGCACGTTCACGATGGTTCATCATACAGCTCCACACATTCCTTTCAAGCCTGCTGATGAGTGGAATGCAGCTCAGGCCCAGCTCAATGGAACCGTTCATTGTGATTATCCTAGTTGGTAATGCATATTTTTGGTGTTTAAGAGCATTTCTTTGTTTTTTTTTTTAAATTAGTTTATGTTTCTGCGTTGTGACAGGATTGAGATTCTTTGCCATGATATCAATGTACACATCCCACATCACATTAGCCCAAGGATACCGAGCTACAATCTCCGTGCGGCTCATGAGTCTATACAAGAGAACTGGGGAAAGGTAATAGCACACTTTCCTATCCTGTAAAGCTGTAATAATGTATGTGAGGGCACCATAAGATTCATGGGTTTCTTGCTTTGCAGTATACAAACTTGGCTACATGGAACTGGCGCTTGATGAAGACAATAATGACTGTGTGCCATGTCTATGACAAAGAGGAGAACTACGTTCCTTTTGACAGATTAGCCCCAGAGGAGTCGCAGCCAATAACATTCCTCAAGAAAGCAATGCCTGACTACGCAGCTTGATTGCCTCTGTATTGGTATTTTAAAAAATCTCAATATCTTTTTTTTTGCACTCGCCAATGTTATATGTAACGTTGCACCAACGCTTTATACTGTATCTTGTTCCGAAACTTATCAGCAGAGAGTAAACTGGAGGGTCTAATTGCAAGTCCTTGATCAGTGTCTTAGCTAGAAGAAGTCAGATTAAAGAGTCTAAACAGACAAAAACATCATTGTCATACCACCATGAAAGCTATCTTTGCTGTTCTCCCATCTTGTGGTTTCCTAACAACCCTAAAACATTAAATCATTATACGCAATCAAAAGTAGCATAAACAGACTAAGGCAAAGCAAAATTGTAAACAGTAAATTACCAGAAGATCGTAGGAAGAAGAGTCTTTGCTGTTGAGATGATCAAATATAAATACAGAGTTCGTTTTGTACTTTCTTCGTTAGCTTTGTATTTGGAGAGAGAGTAAGAATTTCAAAAGTAAGAATTTAAATACAGAGTTTGTAATAAAAATTTGACCGCAAAAAAAAAATCACAACTTTTCGATGGTACAAAGAAATTTAAAGCAAAAAGCATGGAACAACATTGATTAAATAATTAAAAGAAAAACATTAGACAGATTTAGAAAACCTAATTAATGCTCTCAAACTTGGTTTCCAATTACGTTTGGAACTTGTTTCGGAACTCGTCTGCTGGGGTGACCAATGCATCTCAGTTTAGACTTCTTGTTGGATATTTCTGCCCAGTCAACTTTCTTCATCATAGGATGTAGCTCCACTATTTCACCATTTATCAGTTCAGTTATTCGTGGCTGGGGAAAACGAGCATGTGAAGCTTCCACAAACAAGATGAGCGCAACAAAGAGGAAGAAGATCATCTTTCCGAATCTTGTGGATATTTGAAATTTTTAATTATTCATTAAGGATATAAACGATATTAACCGGTCTAACTTTTAACATGAGAGCACTGTTGCGAAAAATCACTTCGCAAATAATAGTATAGATGACCATTAACCTAGCCTAGTACGTATGCTTTCAGTTTTTTCACAAATAAATCGTAGAAGGATCATAGTTGCAACAAAAATACATATTGAATGTTGAAATGAGCACTGACAATAGCTCCATGTGTGCTTATGGATCCATTATCAACTTAAGAAGTAACCAAATCAGTAAGGATGTAAAATCTCAATATCTACCACTATAGTTACTAAGAGCATCTCCAACCCCAATTCATAATTTACTGCAAAATGGAGTGGGAAATGGAGTAAAGAAGAAACAAAAAAATGATTACTCTATAAATAAAGTAATGGGTATTTTGTTTCTTCATCACTCTATTTCCCACTCCATTTTGCAGTAAATTATGGAGTGGGGTTGGAGATACTCTAACTAGATTTTAACATGCACACCGTGTGGATGTTTGTTTTAATTTAAAAAAACATACAATATATATTTATCTTACATACATATCAAAATATTAACATTGGCTTATTACTTGTATTGAATGTTGTTTTCGACTATCTAGTTAGAATTGCAAAGTCTTGAAATAGAGATTGTTGGTTTGTTTGTTGTTTTATTCCGGCCTAGTTTCTCAGAAACCACCTCAAACTTGACTAATATAATAATCGTTTGATGTCAAAAAAGATTTTTTTTCTTATTATATACTATTTTATGTAGTATTGAACGTTGTTTCGTACTGAATGTATTTTTCTTGCATCTAAAAAATTAGTATTACAATAAGTAATTAATCATCAGAAGTTCTATTTGTCTCACATAGATTTTCTATCATTCATAGTACTTAATCTTTAGAATTTTGAAAATAGTTATTATATATAAAATTAATGGACTTTTAGACAGGAAAATCAATATTTTTAATATTTATGAAACGGTAAAATTAATTTCATATTATTTTATATATTATTATTTATATTGATTTTTATATATGAAATTAATTTCGGGTAAACTTAATGAATTTTTTACTTTTAATGAATATTTTGTTAAGATATATTGTCATTTAAAACAATATTAATGCTGATCATATATAAAATGAATAGATTGTATATTTTTAAGGAAGATTTTGTTAAGATATAGAAATTGAGGACTGATAATTAATGCATAAAATTAGGATTAGATAGTTTCCAATGGCATTGATGTAGTTAAAGTTTTACTAATACTTCTTCTGTTTCACTTTATTTGTTATTCTAGGTTTTTACACACAGATTAAAGAAACATTTAATTTTACATATTTTAGATAAAAACACAATTACCTATACACCTAACCACTTTTCAACCAATAGAAAAATAAAATATTATATAAAACTAATAAATTTTGCCTCGAAATTCTAAAACGATACTTATTTTGGAACAAATTTTTTTTTTAGAATGACAACTATTTCGAAACGGAGGGAGTATATGTTTATCATCATTATTAGATTTTTATTTTGATACTAGCACAAATTTTTATAATACATAATAATTTGATATGTATTAAATTCTCAAAAAATGTTTATTATTTATATTTCCAAATTATATATATATTTGATATGTTCAATTAATTTATAAACAACTATTTACATATAACTATATTCGGGAAGTTATGGTTTTAAATTAATTACGTTTTCTTTTAGGAAATATCTATTAGTATAATCTGTAAAATTAACAAAGCTTGATTTAAGGAAATATATTTTTAATTGATTTTAAATGTACTGGAATAATTTGCCAACAAAAAAGCATCAAAAGCTTAACATTTAATTTATTATAAATGCGTGACTAAATTTGTAAATAAAAGAAAATATCAAAAATGTACTTTATTTTGCAACAAAAACTAGGACTACGTACTTACAAGAAACCATTAAAGACTATGTTGATAGTCTACCAAACATTAAGGGTTGGATTCTCAGTTCACAGAATCACTCAAAAGACATTTTAGATTCGTATTTGTGTACTCTCAACCATGCTTCCCACAAGAATCAGACGCATATATACCACTCTCAACAGTGCACACATGCGTAAAAGAGGAATTATCAACCAGACACTTACCACCACTCATATTTCAAGAATCCAAGACTGCTTGTACATTTAGATTTCTCCTCATATTTAAGGTCTCAAAGAACATATATTTTTTTGCAAAGGCTTAACTAAACTTTTGTGTCCATCTAGCTTGACCGGCAGGTGACCAAGCGGTTGTTTCATGGTTTGCCTAGGAGAATGCTTCATGTGCAGCCAATCTTTGTACAAAGAAAACGCAACCGAACTATAATTATGTTAAGATAGTATTGTATATATATATGTATATATATACATATATGAAATTAAATAAAGAGCACCAAAAGGGTGTGAGACAAGTTCTGGAGATGGGTTTCAGCATGAAATCATGGTAAGAGACACTTTAAAACTGCGGTTTGCAGTTAATGAGATCTAACTGTGACATATCAAAGAGATCACGTAGAAATGATACGGTAGGTAGGTTAGTTCCTCGCATTTCACTTCAAGATGACTTGGCGCAACAAATATCTTCTGGGAATGCTAACGGCTTGACTCAGCTTACATTTTATTCTTTTACTACACTTTTAAGTTTGCCTTCACTCCGTGGATATTTTTCTTTTATTTTGAATATGATGCACAAAATAATGCAGCTACTATGACATGCAGCTTTGGGGGAGGCTTGGTTGTTGAAAAGAGACATTGTGACCAGCATCCTTCATAGCTTTAACAACTACCTTTTGCGATTTCTGGAATGTAATAACACAAAGCAATGGACCTGCTGGAGCTCTGAATGTAATAACACAAACAAAACAGACTTACAAGAGAATTGCTATAATAATAATCATCATACTAAGTTTCCTATTATGATAGTGTATCAATCTGAAACCTGGTTAATGCTCAATCACTACCACAGTTGGACATTTTCAAAGATATCCACCTAAGCTAATACTCATAACCCTATGTCTTTTGCACAGCTACGTCAAAAGAGAAACTCTAACACAACCGGAAAAACAGAGTCCACCGATCAAGGTTATCGAAATCATTATATGGGTGCCCAAAGCTACCAATTTTTTACTAATCCCTCTTGAAATCCCCTGAATCAGAGCTAAGTCCAATACATATTAAAAAAAGTATATAAAGTAGGTTCATTATCTGGTAAGAGACCTGGTTAATTAGAAGTAAATCTTCATAAATCATGTAGTATTATCAGTTGTTCAATCATTTATATAATATCATAATAAATCAGCGTTTAAAAAAATATAAAATTTAACACATGCACATAACCTTCATGCAACAACACTTATAATCCCCTATATATATTAAAAGATAAACATTTGAAAAATTGTAACTTCAATTTTGTAGGTGTCACTCAATTATGTAATCAATTACATTCAATTGAAAAATAAGTAGGTCCACATTCGATTTTTATATGTCACTAGATATATTCGTTGGTCAAACTATATGATATGATGATATGATATGATATTTACGATATAACCATTTATGATTGTTCCGCAAGATATAATTACTATTTTATTTTATTTTCTTAAATAAAACCTACGGAATTACCATAAATGACTAATATATATATATATGAAAATTAATGATTCTAATATTAAATATTTGATAACAATTTATATCTCCTCCATCATTTTTTCTTTAATTTTAAATTATTCAAATAAATTAAACAATCAAATTAGCTATAAAATTAAATTTTAGAGTTTTTTTCGTATATATTATATTTTGAATTTTACAAAACAAGAATAAATGACTAAAACTATTAAAATTATTATATTAAAAATTAATGATCAATAGTTTAACATTTTTATTATAAAAAGATACACATGATTTTTAAACCATATGAGTAAAAAGTATTATTCAATAATAAACAAATATATATAGATTAAACTATATACATATAAGATTACATAAATATTTTCATTTCAAAAATTTCAATGAATTTTCAAGAACATTTATAAATTATAAACTTCTTAAATTTTTCACATTGAAATTTTTTGTTATCAATGGTTTAAATATCTTAGTTTTTTTTTAATTTTATATTATTAAAAGATATTAAACAAGCGATAATATGTTTTTTGCTATATACCATACAAACCGAATGGATATGATTTTATAAAAACTGTAGGATTTGGAAATCGTTTGATCTATAACCGATTAAACTGAAACATATAAATATGTATATATTTATAACGACGCATGAATATCTATTTGTTACATGAGTTCAACTATAATTAAAATTTCTAAATCACTTGAATTATAATTAACTAACAATTTACTGAGGCTTCTTAGTTTCTTAATTTTTTTTTTTTGTTTTAACATTAACAGAATCGAAGTAAATATATAAATTTGATGGACAATAATTAGTTGATTTTTTTTACAATTTTTTTATCTTTAAACAAACAGAGTTGTGTTCAACCAAAGAAATATTAATTTGATGAAGACTAAATATGGAAGAATATAAAAAAATTTCTTTCATTCTGTTTTTTTTTTATTTATTTTTATTTTTAAAATTTAGAACTTTGATATTAATTCCAGATTTCATGATTTTATTAGATGATAAAATCTTTTTATTCTTTTATTCAAATATATAATATTTTAATAAATTATTATTTTGATAATATGACTCTAAATATGATCATATTATATATTTGTATAGTATATAATATGATCTCAAACTAATTAATTATGTTTTTTTGGTATAAAACTGAATAAACTGAAAACCGATGGTAGATAAACCAAATCGAACCGAAGTAAATATGAATTTAGAATAGTAGTTATATTTTAATAAATAAAATACCGAAAAATCAAACCGAACTAAAACCCGATATATGGATTGAACACCCCTAATCTAAATGAATCGAACTATTGTTTCATTTTCCAAAACATAATAAAAATAACAATTTTATTCCGCGCAAGGCGCGGATTTTATCCTAGTATTTGTTATAATTCTAATTAACATTCTAAAATCACTAATTTTGTTTTTTGGCTTCCCAAAATCACTAATTAAACACAAACGTCAATGATTTGACGGAGAAAGTAACGGAGTTTTTTTTTTGATAAAAGTAACGGAGTTTGTTAAAAAAAAGCGTAACCGATATAAACGCAGCGTTTTGTGATCGGTCGGAATGCGGCTACCTTTGTTGCCTTACAGAATCTGTTCCGTTTCTTCTTACTCTTTCCTACAAAAGAGAAACCCACGAGACAGACAGGCCTGGAGTAGACAGAATCAAAGGACAAAGAGAATTGTCCATGGACGACAAGGGCAGCGACGAAACTGATGGTTACGCAGCTGCGGAGATAGACAAGAGCGAGAAATTGGAACCGGAGAAGGAGCGAGAAACCCTAGCTATGGATCATATTCATGATGAAGGTAGCGGTTTATCCCCCATAGATTCTTTGTTGATTTTCCGATGGTGTTTAGTTGTTGATGAAATGATGTTTGTGTTCACCAGGTGTTCGAGAATATTCGTCAGTGGAACCAAATTGTGAAGATGTCATGGTGAGTGGGTTGCTGAATATTTTCTCATTTCTTAGCTAAATTATGAACAATAACAAGTTAGATTCTCTCATTGATATCTGGAAGTTGTAGAAACTGAAGTTACCAAATATACAAATTCACTTCAGTGTTATGTCCTAAGCTTTGAAAACAAGGGATACGAGTATCCGACAGACTTATATAATTATAGTTTGTATGACTTGTTGTTACTAGGCAAAGCTGCTTGAAAATTGAGACTATTGATTTCTTATGAACTAGAAGGAAAGTTTGTTTCTTTTACTGATTGGATGGGGACTCGTTTAGCTATTAGTGCATGGGAAGAGTAACTATAGTTGTTTCTATTTGGCCTAGATCATTCTGTATCAGTTGTAATTATGCGGTTTTAAGCGCAGGTAAAGGTTGTCATTTTAATTTTTTTTTCTGTGACGCATTGGCAGGAGAAGGCTAGCGGCACGGAATGTGATGTAGGTGCAAGTGTAGAAACATCTACTTGTCTGACTGCGTCGCCAAATCCGTCAATGTTGGAGACATCTCTATCTTCGAATACTTCAGCTGCACATGGTGTATCATTGGTTTCAGTTCCGTCTAAACAAGAGCAAAGATCTGATTCTCGGGTGGTTAGCAACTTGTCGGTTTCTCCGGTTCTGAAGACACCGGCTCGTGATGGTTATCATTGGAGAAAATATGGGCAGAAGCAGGTTAAGAGTACCAAAGGATCACGGAGCTACTATAGGTGTACCTATTCTGATTGTTGCGCGAAGAAGATTGAATGCTCCAACGATTTAGGAAACGTGATAGAGATTGTTAACAAAGGTTTGCACAGTCATGAACCTCCCCAGAGGAGTAGCTTCTCCCCAAGAGAGATTAGAGCTGTATCAGCTGTCTCACCTGTTTCACAGGACAATACAGCAGTAAAAGAGCTAGCAATAGTCCCTAGCGGTTCAGCTCGGTCCGCTTCAACTAAAGAAAACATCTGTCAGTCACTAGCAATTGTTGAAGGGAAGAGAAACTGTGAGAACAAAGCTGTGGAGGAACCAGAGCCAAAGCGGAGGCATGTTCTATAGAATTTTGTTACCCTTCACATTGAGGGATAAAACTAACATATTTTTCTCTCTCTCCTGTGTTTCAGACTGAAAAAAGGTAACTCACAAAGTTCGGACTCTGTCTCCAAACATGGAAAGAAACATAAAGTTGTAGTACACGCAGCTGGTGACGTTGGTATCTCTGGTGATGGATACAGATGGCGTAAATACGGGCAGAAAATGGTGAAGGGGAAACCTAATCCGAGGTTTCAACCAAACGCATTTCAATTTCTTTCTAAAAAAATTTCTCTATACATGTCTGATTTGATGTATTATGTTCAATACATATCAGGAACTACTACCGTTGTACTTCAGCCGGTTGTCTTGTCCGTAAACACATTGAGACAGCAGTAGAGAACAGAACAGCTGTGGTTATCACATACAAAGGAGTACACAACCACGACATGCCGGTGCCAAAAAAACGCCATGGTCCTCCTAGCTTAGAGCTTGTGGCTGCAGCTGCCCCAACATCAATGAGAACCAGGTTAGACGATCATGTGAATATTTCCACCTCAAGCCAGTGCTCGGTGGGACGAGAAGGTGAGAAGCAGAGTAGTGACCCATTGGATGTTGGTGGTGGCGAGAAAGTGATTGAATCGGCTCGGACTTTGTTGAGCATTGGATTTGAAATAAAGCAATGCTGATCCCTTGTATGTATGTATGAGTTAGAGTTTGACGGACTTAATTTTCTTTTACTTGTTCTTGTTATATAATAAAACAACCCATAAAGATATATCTACTTATAGAGTTATAGTAATGGTTTGAAAGTTAATCTTGTATCTTCTTATAACGCATCAGCATACACATTTTGATTTAGTTCTTTTAGGCTCTGATTGGTGACATCTATTATTAGAGTTGAATTACAATAAAAATTATAATTTGATTAGAGTTGAATTGCAATAAAAATTATAATTTGATGTAAGTTGCAGTAAAAAAATATTATATGGTAGAAATTGTAAATTTATGTAGTGAGTTTGCTGTAAAAATATGAGTTACTATATTTTAAAAATAATTGACTGGTAACGTATTTGATGTATAAGTTATAGTATATATTGTTTAAAATAAAATTATGTAATATCAGTTACAATAACATTCCCTTATAAAGTTAATAACATAGAGTAGATAAAATAAATTAAATTAAATTGACATAAAGAAAATGTACTTAAATAAATGTATATAATATAAAATGGTGTTTATATAGTTACATATTATTTATATATGTAAATATTTTTCTACAAAAACAATAGTTACAGTTACGGGAACAATTTAGTAAACTAATTCAGATGAATATAATTTTGAAAATTTATAACCCGATATTAACGACAAATGAAATCATTGTCATGTTCAAATTTTATAAATTATTTATTGGTAACTACTATTTAATGCGTAAACTGTAGTATAAATTGTGTTTTATACATAATAATATTTGTTATAAATTAAAATAGATTAAATAAAATAAAACAAGAAACCTGGGACATAAAAGTAACGTGGAAGTGGGATATTAACAAAAACTATTCTAAAAAATTACTAACTCAAACTCTAATACATGGGATTTCCTTTGATATTAGATTTTGTTTTTGAGTTATCAATTTAACAAAAGATGTAATTACAAATTTTAAATCAAAAATTTCTAACACAAACATAAATTCAAAAAGTTAAATCTAATTCATGAATGGTAACATTTTTGAATTATGGTCGTAACTCAAACTAAATCAAGTCTACTACATGTTACCAATCAAGTCTTAAATTGGATTTCGAGAATAATGTTCATAAGTTCCATTGAAGTTTTATAAGAAAATTATTTACTGCAACGATATAAAAGTCTATTCAACTAAAAATGTTTTCACCGATAAGAAAAGTATATTTGAATCCTGAAACATTCTTATACATGATTAAATAGATATATGTGGGAATATCTGTTACCATATGTTAATAATTTCTTTCTTCTCTACCAGTCTATCTGATCCCAAATTCAGGACAACCTCCGTCACTGTTGAAACTCATGTCGATCATCATGTTTGCCAACAAGGATATATATCAAATCTCTTTAACTAAAAATGTTTTCAGTAACAAGGAAAATAGTTAGATATTTGAACATTGAAACATTCGCACATGTTTAAAGAGAGATATGAGGGAATTTGGTTTTTGAATATGTACAACCCGTGTTCGAAACCGGCTAAACTACCGTGAGAAACTGATCAAATTCATTGACTGGTTATAACTTAATATATTCATTTTATTTGCACACTTGAAGGACTAGTGACGGCGATGAACATTATATTTTGAGCGGTCGTCAAAACGATTTCACAGTTCATCCTCTCTAATGAAATAGTATGCGTTCTCAGGTCAAAACCAATGTTATGATTCTACTAAGAAGAAGCACCAATCACATTCTGCCTACAACAGAAGCAAGTGCCAACACATATTTGGTATGAATTATGTATTTATGGCATTTTTATACTTTTTGGATAATTCGGAGTTATTTCAGATAGTTTGAGTATAAATGTATAATTGTTTAAAATCGATTTGAACCTAAATTATTTCAGTTATTTATCGGAATTATTTCCGGTTAATAGTTTTATAAAACAATTTCCTATTAATAAAAGGAAATTGCAACATATATATAATATAGTGAGAACACACTCCTTATGTGAATTTGTCTCACAAGAGAAACAAAACAAGAGCCCAGATTAACCTTGACTCTAACGATGTCCATAAGATTCAGAAAGATCATCTTCTTCTTCTTTGTAGTTCTTGTCTTGTTTGTGGAAGCTTCACACGCTCGTTATCTCGAGCCACCAATACCCTTGTTAATATACGGTGAGATAGTCGAGCTATATCCTATGATGAAGAAGGTTGATTGGGAAGAAATAGCCAACATGAAGGCGAAATTGAGATTTATTGGTCACCCCAGCAGACGAGTTCGGAAAGTAATTGGAAACCAAGTTTGATGAGGATGTTTTGGAGCTTAGATTAACTAGGTTTTCGAAATCTGCCTAATGTTTTTTTTTTTCTGTTCTATTATTTAATCAATGTTGCTCCATGTTTTTTTGCTTTAATATTTTTTACTATCGAAAATTCCAATCAATTTCTTTTGTATTGCATCGGGAAAGAACAAGCCGACAATGGAGCTCAAGAGGAATTGGGAACCAATTAAAGACTTTGATTGGAACTTTTATAATTTTTGAATTCAGATCGGAAAATAGTCAGTGTCCAAAAAAATTCAAAAATCCAGAAAGTATTACCAAACTTTATTAGCTTATCAAGAATAAAAAACTCTCTGAATTATTTTTAAATATTTAAAAGAACCAAAATTGTGGAAAATTGTTGAATTCTCCAAAAATATTATAAATGTTAGAATTAGTAAGAAAAATTAGTAACTTTAGATTATTTCAATTTTTTTGTATATTAGTGTGGAATTGGGTTCATTTCACATATTTATTATCTCAAATATTTAGTCATTCGACTTTTTTTTGTCTGACTAATTATGCTATTACAAATTATGAAAACATTACATAGACAATATTACAACCGACAATTCTACATGTCTTATGTGGATTCACGTCTGATTACATCACCCTAAACCGCTTTATGAGATCCAATCATGATGGTATTCCTTGCGCTATGTTGAAGATTTTTTGTAATCTTGTTCTCTAATTTTCTGTATAATTCACATTCTTCGGAGATTGAAACAACCTAGATGTAGAAGCTTTTAAACCACTAGGTACTCACAATACTTCCGCTAGTTGTTAGATTTTAACTAAATATATTTTATTTATTTTTTAACCGTGCGGACCGGATTCAAGTTTTTAATATGGGATTCGGTTAAAACGCCGAGGCTATAGTCGCACGCCTCTGTGTGGAGTAGAGGGTCTACAGAAACTTTCAAGTAAACAAAAAACCTCGCTCTAGTCTCCTCGATAAACCCTAAAGTCTACTCCGATGGCGAGCCTTCGATGCCTCCGTGAGCTAAGCCGTCGCGTTCTCTCGATCAACCAAACGAGATTGATCTCTTCAGCTCGGCGATTAGAGCTTCCAGTGACCGGCATTACATCTCAGAATCGACCTCTCACTAGGGATTTGCCATGGTATCGTTCCCAAGGTCGACATTTCTCTTCGAAAACGAACGATACTGATGATGAAAGCAGCGAAGGAGAAGACGAGGAGTACGAGGATTCGGCGGAGATGGAAGTAGAAAGAGAGTATTCACCGGCGGAGAAAGTAGAGGCGGCGATGGAGATTGGGTATAAGGTGATGGGTCCTTTGAAACCTTCGGAGAGATTATTCAAACCGTATGAGCCAGTGTTTGCGGTTGTTCAGGTTTTGTTGTATCTCTGCTCGACAAAAAACTCTTAGTTTCAATTTCAAGACTGTTACTGATGTTGTTGCTGTTGCTGTAGATTGGTTCGCATCAGTTCAAAGTAAGCAACGGGGACTCTATCTTCACTGAGAAGTTGAAGTTCTGTGACATCAATGATAAGGTATGCTCTTCTTCTTCTTGAAGATTGTTCTAACATTTATAATTGTTGTTAAAGTTTGTCTCTTTATGTATCTTTGGCAGTTGGTACTGACGAAGGTTCTTCTATTGGGATCGGCAAGCCAGACGATTATTGGTAGGCCTATCTTACCTGATGCCACTGTTCATGCTGTTGTGGAAGAGCATGTAAGTGTCGTCTTTTTGTCTTGCTTGCTGTTTTATAGTACTAGCGAAGCTCTGTGCATAACAAAGAAAAAAATTGATAATTGGAAGATAATTGTTGATAGTGTAAGTACTCAAGAAACATTTTACTTTCGTGAGAGTTTGCTTGTTGAATCTGGTGATCGATGAGAGAAATTAAATCAGCTACTGATAGGAGGTTGGGGAGTCTTGTGGAATAATGTATGGAGAACAAGTTATATTTTTAGTGTTCATCTATTGTTCTGAATGTCTTGATTTAGAATAGGTGAAGGGTACTATGCGTCTAACTAGTTGAATATTGTGGGAGTGACAGGCCTTGGATGAGAAAGTGCTCATTTTCAAAAAGAAACGAAGAAAGAATTATAGGCGAACTACAGGACATCGACAGGTATAATCAGCTTTTTCAGTTACCGTTATTCGAGCTCTTTTCATGAAGTATGTTTTGTTGTTTTTGATTATTCAACATTCTTATCTACAGGAATTAACAAAGTTGAGAATAACCGATATACAAGGAATTGAGAAACCAGAACCGAAGATTGTCCATAAGCCTCCCAAGGCAGCGGAGCAACCAGAGGCTGAGCTAGTTGCTTAGAGAGACGAATTGCTTTCTCTTTTTTTTTTTTGTTGATGATGAGAATACTTTGAAGTAAGTTCACGTTTCATTTCCCAGTATGGCTTTTTACCCTTTTCTGAAGGCTTGCTTAGAAATACAGTAGTTACTCCCCAATGTTTGATTTTGCTCTGTATTTATATTGGAACTGACTCAGGCTTTTGATACTGTTTGATTTTGTTTCAGAATTCACAAATAAAGATTTTGCGGAAACAGTGGTTGCACTATGATTGTAACCTGTAAGATCGAGTTATATTGTTTTTTTATGTTATTGTTTTGTTTCATGAGCATCTCTCTCCTTGAACTTGCTTCCTTATGCTAGTTTCGTAGATATAAAAGTCGGTTGGTAAAGTCTTGAATCGTTTTACTTACCCCGTAGACATATCGTTCTAAGCATGACTCAGCCTACGGAATCAAAAGAAAATTTATCAAATGTTTTATCTCTTTCAGACGAACAGTGTTATATTGAGAGATGAACATGATTTATCACCAACGCTACTCTAGGGATTACGAGAAAGTAGACTAACGCACCAAACTGTTAACCACTACAGTAAAATGGTGAATGTGAGAAAGTCACACCAGCCCGTACCAAACTAGAAGAGTTGTGATAAGTTTGGTTTGATCATATAGTTAAGTCCTTGCACCACCATACCTCAATTTAAGAAACCGTCACACGAAACCGGAGTTATTCTGTTTTAAAACCGGAATAAACCAACAATCGAAACCGAAATACCGTAAAGTGTAAAAGACGCGTTTGACAAACCTCCGCTCCGTCCTCGACTCCTCGTCTCAAAACTATCCGACAAAAAGCGGAAGAACCCTAATTTTTCTGTCAAATCCCCAAAAAAGATCTCTGTCTCGCTTCTCTGGCTGTCTCTTCCTTACCTTCTCCTCCTCCAAATTCGGATGATTCCACATTTCGAACTTGCAGAGAATAACCGAGAAAGGGCATCCCTTTCTTCCTCGCCTCTTCACATTTCATGTCTCTTCAAGTCGCTGACTTTCCTCATGGGTCTCAAACCCTAGTTTTTCTCATACTTTGTTCCTTCCCTTTCCGTTGGATCTCTCTCTGAATCAGATTACGTGTCCTTGTCTCTTGTCCTGCTCTTCAACTTCTTCTCCGTTGCCTTGTATGTACCGCCAAATATGAGTGACAAAAAGGTAACTTTCCTACATGCTTTCTGCCTCTGAGTTTCTTAACGGAGTTACATTTGGAGTTCACACATTGAACTGAGATGTGTTTGGTCTGTTCCGACAAAAGCTGTGAACTTTTCTGAACAGGCAAAAAGCTACTACCTTTTAATATCTTTTTTTGCTTTGATAATCTCTTGGTGATATTAAAAGTTTTGACTTTTTTTGTATCTATCATGTTGCTTGTTGATTACATTTGTAGTGGTTCTGTAAGGCAATGTGTAAGCGAGAGACTATTAATTATCTTTCAGTTTGATTTAACTTTCTTAAAAATTCTCTAGTTGGATGCTATAAAAGCCATTTACTACTTAAAGTCTCTTCCTTTAACTTACACTTGCTATTCATATAGATATGGAGTTATTATATTGTAACTGAAACTTGCTATCTTTTTTTTTTTTGTTCGTGGCAGGTGTTTGTGTTTGGATCCTTTACAGAGAATGAAACAAGGTCATTACTTGAGAAGAAACCCATTAACGCTCCTCTGAGTCATAAAGAAAAGTCTGTGGGAAGTATACAGTTTGGTTCCTTTAATCTTGTTACCGAAAATTCTCCTGTAAACAGCGCTAATGGTGTGTTGAAGAAGGGTCAGCCTGATGTGGCAGTGAAATCTCGACCCTCTAACTTTCATAAGGAAGATAACAAATTTCAATCTGCTGTGACTCAAAAGAGCCTTGATGTTTCTAGACCTAGGATCAATGATAATGCTGCAAAACACTCTTCAGGAGAGCATGTGAAAGAAAATGGAAGTATTAAAGAGGTTTCTGAAAAAAAACCACCTCGCAACAATGGTGTGTTGGAGAAGGCATCAGCAGATCCTATTGGTTTGGACAAGTTGTGTGTGTCGTCAGATGGTGAAAGTGATTCTTTGTGTATAGCTTCAAGCTCAAAATTCCAACTCCTTGACACCGATATTTCTTCATCTGGAAGCACCATACCAAGAAAGAATAGCCAGATGGTTCCTAATGAATCTATTCCAGCCGTGAAAGATTTTACACCAAGAGGATTAATAAACGCTGGAAACTTGTGCTTCCTCAACGCAACACTGCAGGCTTTACTCTCCTGTTCTCCTTTTGTGCAGCTCCTCCAGGGAATACAACTCCTAAATATTCCCAAGGTTTTTTCTTTCTCTATGTTTTAATTCTAATTTTTATATTTGTTTTCTTAACTTGATTGTTCATGTTCTACATTCTCAGGCTGAGTCTCCAACTTTAGCTGCATTTTCTGAGTTCATCTCTGAATTAGATGTGCCAAGCAGTTCAAGCTTCAGAAATAACGTTGCCGTTGTTGAGTCTGGTAGACCATTTACACCTGCCATGTTTGAAGGGGTCCTTAGAAACTTTACCCCAGATGTTCTCAACAACATGTCTGGCCGCCCAAGGTTTGTGACTTTGTTACACAGTCTGAAGTTTTGTTGGTCCTATGTTTTACATAGTTTGTGTACTTGTGTTGACCAGGCAGGAAGATGCTCAGGAATTTTTGAGCTTTATAATGGACCAAATGCACGATGAGTTACTGAAACTCAGGAAAGATTCCCCCAAACTCACGGCTTCAAACTCCTCAGTTGTTTCTTCTGGCAACGAGGATGATGAATGGGAAACAGTTGGACCCAAAAACAAATCTGCTGTGACAAGAACACAAAGCTTTGTTCCTTCTGAACTCAGTGATATATTCGGTGGGCAGCTAAGAAGTGTAGTGAAGGCAAAAGGTATTTTTTTGCATTCTTGATTATAATTTATGCTTTCATCAGACACTTACTTAGTGTGTCGTTTATGGAAACAGGAAACAAAGATTCTGCTACTGTGCAGCCATATCTCTTACTTCACCTTGATATTCACCCGGAAGCAGTGTGTACTATAGAAGATGCATTGCATTTGTTTTCTGCTCCAGAAGATCTTGAAGGATATCGAGCCTCCGTTACGGGGAAGGTAAACTATTTTCTCGTCTCTCACTATATTGAGTAAGGTTCCTTATGATTTATCTTCTTAATGCTCGTTTCAGGCAGGTGTAGTGAGTGCTAGAAAGTCGATAAAGATACAGAAACTCTCAAAGATAATGATACTGCACCTTATGCGTTTTAGCTATGGAAAGCAAGGGAGCACTAAGCTGCATAAACCTGTTCACTTTCCCCTCGAGCTCAACCTAGGCCGCTACCTTCTTGTTTCTCCCTCCAACGGGGTATAAATTTGAAAACAAAACATTTCTCACTCTCTCCATGTGACTTTGAACTATCAACTTACTCAGGTTTCTTCTTTTAGGGTTTAAAGTATGAACTTGTGGCAACGATTACCCACCACGGAAGGGATCCCTCGAAAGGACACTACACCGCAGATGCACGAAGAAAGAACAATCAATGGCTTAGGTTTGATGATGCATCTGTGACTGCCATAGGGACAAAACAGGTTTTGCACGACCAAGCTTATGTTCTGTTCTACAAACAAGTGTAATAGAATCAAAAGCAAATCTATTTAGATGGTCGGGGAATGGAGAGTAACAATGTTCTCATTATAAAAACTTTGAAGGAGAGCAAAATCTCAGTAGGTAAATAGTTTTAGAGTATCTGGTTTACATGAAAGTTTTGTTTTGGTTCCTTTGATATGGGGAGTGTTTTATTGTGATTCAAACATTTATTATTATTACTTCTTAGACTTGTATTCAGAAATTATTGATTTATGCTACTTAGTTTCTTGTTATTCAGCCAATCTTATTGTTGGTAGAACCAAATCAGTCAAGTTGTAGGCTTGTAGCTATGAATAGATAAACTGGTTTCAAGATTTGGCTATTAGTCTATGTAAGGTTCTAACAATATGGTTGGTACTCTTGATCCGATGTTGGTTATATAATCCAGATTGGTTTATTCAATATAGTAGAGATTAAATAGAGTAGATTTAAGTGGGTACTAGTAAAGGCTCTTCTGGACACAAGACTCATGGTACAACTGTCACATATGAAACATCAGCACATTAGAATCTTGCAATGTTTGTGTTTATATTAAAGAAAAAAAAAGTATGAAGCTTCTTAACTAGCAATAGACTTACTTCCACACTTGTACCATGAGCGAGAGGTTTCCCACAAGAGGCAGTGACATCAACCTTATCCAAGTTTATCATTTTCTTGACTTGATGCTGTGATCTCTTGACAACTCTGCAACAGACTACATACTACTTTTCCTGGTTGGTCTTTTAGATGAAGTATCTCTTTTTGCCATGGAGCATTCTTATCATGAGCCGCCATTGTGCACTTTACACACTGCCATTGAGTTCTTTGTTTGCGGACAAAAGCACTCCTCCACATTGCATCGTATTAGATGACTGTGAATTATACCGCAGACTCAAACTAATCCAGTTCATTCCCCTAACTATTCACCAGTTCTATGCACATCTTCAGTTAGCATAACCGGTCCATTTTAGATGCTAAAAGCTAGACGAAGATCTTAGCCTTGTTAAAACCTTTGTGAGGCTCTAAACTTTAGTTAAAACTTACAAGCAAAAGTGGTTTTATCAGCCACTGTCCATAATGGATACACAATCACATGAAAAACAAACAATAAGCACAAAGAATCAGGTTGTTTGCCCATTAGAGTCGTTTGTGTGTAAGGAAATTGAAGTTACAGTGATAAAACTGTTCAGGTTACTACAACAGAAGAGGTATTGAAGGACGTTGTTTACAGATATTCCCAGGGTTTTGTTGAAGCTAATCTTGCTGCAACTTATGAACTAATGGTCTGTGAGACACTCTTCTGCGTTTTGCTCCCCAAGATACAACCAAACAGTTTGGTTCTTTCCTCTTTGTCCCAAGATAACCTTGACAGTTTTCAGAACCACAGTTACACTTTACTTCAGGACCAAACTGCACAAATCTGCAAAAACAAAAAACAAACCTAATACATCAGAATCTCAGGTTGTTTACGGTCATAACTAATGGTCCAGAAGATGACCTGTAATCATATGTAAGTGGCTCTCCTGCTTCTATTTGACGAGCAGCAAATACACCTACACGGGTCTCACCTTCAACTTGCCTATTGTATTATCCACACGTTCACAAGAATTAGACTCAGTTTCTCAATCTTAAGCATAAACATATTAATATGATGTAATAATATATGCTTTACCACTTCTCCAATACACAGTTTGGGTTGCAGCTGTGATTTAGAAAGCGAGAAGCGTTTCCTTTGAAGGTGGCATCAATTGTGAAGTCTTTTTGAATCTCACACATGTAAAAGTCTTTCATTCCTTTGTGCTTCATATCCCAAAGCCTTTGCTCACACTGAGCATCACTAATCACTGTGCATATAGTCAACACAATCACTAAAAACCACGGTCTCTCTCCCACCATAACCGTAAGGCTCGCATACACAACCAAAGTAGCTTACCTTCACCGATGTATTCAACAACGAAGTCCTCTTTGTTAATGGATTCTGCTGCCTCTACTCCCCAACCGCAAAGTTTGGTCTGTATGAACAATAAGATGACATGTCAAGACAAAAAGATTGTGTAATGCAAGGAATCAGGACAATAAATACTTAAGTTTACCTTAACAATTTTGATCTTCTTATCTTTGCGGAATGGTCTATTTCCACAAGTTTCAGGGCATCCACATCGCTTTGAACAACTTACGCATTGAACCCTGAAACAAATTTGTTTCAAAACAGAAACCATTCAAGCAAAGTTTCATTTATTTCGACAGAGAAGAGGTTAATTAGTCAATGATATAATACCTGCAAACACAGCTTCTACAGCAAGTAGGACCACAGTTAGTGCACCCAACACCATCATTAGCATTATCACGTTTCTTCTTCACAAGATAAATATCTTTAACTTGGTCAAGGAAAGACACAATTCAGTAGTGACAAAAATGAGAACTATGTACTTTAATACCTCTAATATTGAATTGGAAAACAGTTGTGTATTGAAACTATAAAAAGGATACTACGCCTGATGTGCACATAAGGAGGCAGATCATCTTTGGCAACAGAATCTTTCCATGTCAAGTCAATCTTGAACTCCTCTTCTACATATGGCAAAGGCAGCTGGGAAAACACCTCCTGAATTTGAAAGTAAATGTTATTACTTGCCTAGCTCTTGAAATTGTGTAAGTAAAAAAAAAAACAATATCCAGCTTTCCATTCACATCTGTAGCAGGAGTCGAAGAAACCACTGACCTCTATCTCACTATGTGCAACTCCACTCTGCTCAACGAACATTATATTTTATCAGTTCTGTAAGTGCATCCGTATGAGAATACAGCTTGTAATAAAATACAGGTAATATCTAATTAAAAAGCAAGAAACTGGAGAATAGACCTTTGAGTCTAGCCGCCAATCAGTTGAATGCCTCCAACAGACTGCTCTTCCTGGTTGGTCTTTCAAGTGAATTATCTCTTTTGGCCATGGAGCGTGCTTATCATGAGCCGCCATTGGGCACTTAACACACCGCCACTGAGTTCTTTGTTTGCAGACAAAACACTCCTGCACATTACATCCTATTAAATGACTGCACAATCAAAGTAATCCAGTTCATTCCTCTGCCTAGTCACCAGTTCTAAACTAACGAAGAAATCTAATACAAACGAAGAAAGACTTCCTTCTTGAGTGAGAATCCTACATGTTGAGGGCACCTAAACTTCCCAAGGTTGTTATGAAAACCAAGACTTTCTTTCGCACAGAGCAAGTGATAGACACTTTGACAGCCACGGACAGAGCACAACACTTCTTCTCCAGGATACACCAGCTTACGGCAAACAAGACAGTCAACCTGACACCACCAAACCCACCACATAGTCATTGTCTCAACAATCTCAAAACTGAAAATTAAAACAGTTTTGATTAATTAATAAACAGAAAAAAAATCATTGTACCATTCTCTTAGCTCCAGGGAGAAAAGGGAGTACACATCTTGACTCAGAAACTCCAGAATCAACTCTTCTCTTGACCCAATCTTTCACATGATCTTCAAGAACCAACCCTTTCTTGGATTTTTCAGACGGATCTTGTTTTACGGTAGGAGCAGTGATCACTTTGACCTCCTCCGGCGGAGGAATCATCGATATAAGTTCTTGATTGCAGTCTCCGGCTATGTTCTCCGAAGAATCGATCGGTTTAGCTAGTTCCGGCCCTGATGCCGCCGGAATAAAAGCAGGGCAGCAAGTGAGAGACACAGATGCCGACAAAGACATGTTGTTTAGATCTAACATGTTAACACGTGAAGTCAAGAGGACATAGGAAGTCTGTTACTTTTTAGTTTGGTAAGAGAAACCCAAAAACTATGGAGGGAAATTAAGGCGGGATATTAAAAAAAAAAGGATTTGGAATGATCCTCGATATTTATAGAAAACGTCTTGTATTTCTAAGAAGTTTCGTAAAAAGCCCCAAACTTTTCTTCTGTTTGTTAAAAGTTTCTAGAAGGCCAACATCATATGATATCAAATGGTGGAAGTGGAACACACACTGGGCAGTGATTAGAGTATTGTACGCAATAAAATCTGGAACAAAACCGTCTGCTGATCAATACAGATTCAGCTTGCCTTGCTAACTATAAGCATTGAGCATCACTAGCAAAATCCTCTATAGATTCAGCCTCACTCTATCCTCTTTAATCAACTGTATAACTTCTTCTGTTTTACCATAAAATCTAAAGACAGGAAAATTTTGTTTTCTTTAAGGAATCTTGTCAGCTGTACAAACAAAACAAAAAAGACAACACCCGAGTAACACAATGAACTGAGACAATAATGGAGACTCTAGTTACTTCCGTACTCAAAGCTAAACAGCCAACTTGTCATTGTTTTGAAGATAAAAGTGAAGTATCTCTCTCACGAGGAATCAAACCCAAATGCTTGCAAATGCTTCTTCCAGAGCCCTCTTCTTGCTTATCTCTAAAGAAAATCCTCCAGCCCGTGTAGCTCTCTCCGCTTTGAGCCTCATCATAGCTTCGTCTTCCATAGAGTAACGTTGATGATCTGCTCCTCCTCCTCCTCCTATAGGTACAGGTTGTGGGCCCATTCCCGTTGGTTTTGGAGCCTGACTGTATGCAGTTCCAGACGTACTCCCATTGTTTGTAGACTAACCAATACATAAACAAACAAGCTCTTGTCAGAAATGTTCACAGCTTCTTGTCGATATGTAAAAACCAAAACACTATTTACCGTGTCAGCATCAGTTTGTGGTTGTTGGGCCTTGCAAGCCGCCAATGCTGCAGTTAAATCTTCAGCCTAGAGTAGAACAAATTGAGAATACACCAAAAATAAAATAAAAAACAGCAGGGTTAGGGCTGAGACTGTAGAATAGAAAATGAAAACAAGACTTTTTCCATTTGGCACAGCTTTTCTTTGAGGTCTGATAAGTTTTTACAATGACAAAAAAAAGCTTAAACAGAATGCTGCAAGAACATTGTAGTTCATCTGATCACTCACCTTGCGGGCACGGTTGATCATGATCTGTTCAGCATTCTCTTGAGAGTACTTCTTTATTTTCTCTTCAATCGCCTCAACATTGATTCCATCTACCAGATCGAATACTGTAGAATGGAAGATATAGAATATATACATTGGTCTCTTCACATACAAATACAGAGAATGTAAGGTGGTCTGAAGAGACTAACCCATGCACTCCACTTCTTCCAAGTAGTCATTGTAGTCCTTAAGTGATGGAAAATCCTCTTCCCTTTTATTGTATCTGCATTTCCCGTTTTTAAAAAAAAATTACAAGTCTTATGATAACCCTTATATCCCATCACATTCTTTCATCTGCTAACAAATGCACATATCAATGAAGAACCTATCACTCACTTGTAATCAGTGAATTATATATTTGCCTTATTATTCATATCAGACTAATAAATGATACTGATCAATGCCAAATAGATTCATCTCGAGGTTCTATATATGCAGAGGCAAGCATGATATGCGAACAAGAGAAAAAAAAAGAAAGAAAAAAGAGTTATACATCTCAGAGATTCTCCTTCTGATATGTATTTCCTTGTTTTGGTGGCTAGAATTAGACACCAACACCATGACTTGCTGCTTCTTTTGTCTTGTCCTCTAGCTACAAAGTTCAAACATTGAGTTTAGAACTACAATTAATTTTGAGCAAATTTATAACCTAAAAGCTGGCAACTCCCAGCATACATTACATACAACAAAAGCAATCTTCTTAGGGCTCACCAGTGGTAAAGGAAAGGCTTTGCAATGTCAAAAGAAAACAAAGATCTCAACTTTGACCAGAACCTGAGAGAGACCCTAATAGTTAAAAGAACTTCAATTACACAAACGTCGTTGGATCTCAATCGTTAAAAGAGAACAACCAAAACAAATCAAAGTCTTCACCTTTGGAGTTACTGCTTCCTTCCGATCAATTCACATTAAAGTTTCGGAAATGATAAAAGAGGGGAAATGGAGGTTTTCGAGCTAACTTCAGCCGTGAAACTCAGTTACCGAACGACTGATTCTCGAAGTTCCGGAGCAAGTAAGATGCATCGGAAAAGCTACTTATTGGGCCTTTTATTGGGTCAATTCAAGCCCAATGATTTATATCAAAATCCGAAACATTTAAAAAACACTAAGCATGTTTTGGTAGACACATTTAATCACCACAATGATTCTTAGAATCCTTAGAAAAAACGTTGGTTCATCTAAATATATCTTAGAGATTTTATTAAACTAACTATTAAACTAATTATTAATATACAAAAGAATATTTTATATTATTTTCTTAAATAAAAGTTACGCAATTACCTAATGGGGTTAACATATATATATATATGGTAATCAATGATTTTGAATAATAAATATTTGATATTAATTTTTGTATTCTATCATTTTTGTTTAAATTTATGTTCTTAAAAAATAAACAATCACATTAACCATATAATTAAAATTTAGATTTTTTTTCTTATATACTATATTTTTTGATTTTTTTAAAGACTATAAATTACTAAGACTATTAAAATTCCACAATGAAAACTTTGTGATCAAGGGTTTAATTTTTTTTGTTATAATAAAATACAAAAAATTATAAAATCATATAAATATGAAGTCTCATTTAATATAATCAGATTAAATATATATATATATATATATATATATTTCAATAAAATAAATATCATATATAAAATACATAAAACTGTTAATTTAAAAATTTGCATTGAGTAGGAAGCATCAGTTAATAAATATTCATATTAATAAAAATAAAAAAATCCAGAAAATATAAAAATGTTAATAAAATCATAGGAATACGAAACCTCGATAATAAATATTTCTATTAAAATATACTATATATCTATATCAATATTATTTAGTTTTTTATATGCCGTATAAAATAAATAAAGGATTATTTTTATTTTTTTACCAACAATATTATTGTACATAAAAGAAAATTAATTTTCTTTATGTGCTTACTTCAATTTAATTACAAAATAATAATTATATGTATAAATAATTTCTAAACATAATTATTGTTCTTTTTTGTAGCAAAACATAATTAATATTCATTACGCTCAAGCACAATTCTCAAATGTTATTTAATCATATCATTTCAAAAATATATTGTTTATACTGAAGTGAAAATGTGAATGGTAACATCTCGGTGATACCATTGAAATGTAATGTGAATTAAGTAGGTTAAAAAAGTTATTAATATGGCTCAATACTCAACAACTTTATATTAACGGTTCATGAATATATGTCTGAGAACATATGAAACGATGGTTCAATAATCAAAGTTAGTATTCAGATAAGTTTTTTATATAAATTTCATCATGCGCATGATCGCGGATAATCACCTAGTTTCATTTAAAACTCCTCACAAAAACTCTAATTTGTATTTCGTAGCTAACTATACTCTTTATCAATTCATACCCTTACAATTTTACTTAATTTCTCACAGATTGGGTTAGGGGAAATTCATTAGTTTTGTGGTTCCGCTGAAATTTTCATTAATGCTTTTACTTATGAATTTTTGAATCCAAACAAAAACATTTAGTATTCCACATTATACACATACGACCAGTGGCGGACCTAGACCAATAACTAGACGGGGGCACATAATACATATATTAAATATTATTATATTAATTAATATAAATAAATAAAAATCTATTTAATAATTTAATAGTATAAATTAATAGTCAATTAAAATTAAATAAAACTGTAAAAATAATCAACTTTAATTTTTTCAACTCAGAATAGATTTTGTAAGCAAACTTTTTTTTTTTACAAATGTAACTAATCACAATAACATCTGTTACAACTAAAATAAATTTGAATGTATAAAAATATGAAGTCTTCATGTCTACACACATGTAACAGAATATAGATATCCTAAGCTCTAAAATATTAAATCAAAATGAGTGGAATAATTTTATTTATTTATTAGCAATTGCTAGTGTCTACTGTTAATTAAAAGAATGAACTTAAAATATGCTCCAAAATCTAATATAAAATATAAACTACAATAGAAAGAACAATGAAAAAACAAATAAAGAAAGAAAAACATATGCCAACAAGAAAAAATAATTAACAATCGAACAAAGGTAGGAAAAATCTCACTAAATAAATAGCTGTAAAAGAGGTACAAGAGGATGTGTCAAACAAAACATTCATTGTACAAGAAGAGGTAAAACCTAAAAAGCAACGTGTTGGGGGTTCCAACTCCGTAAGGGTTTAGACATAGCAACAGTATCTTTACCAATTGATCCACCAGAATCAGTACTAAAAGTATTACCTAAACAAAATATATAAAGCAGTTGGGGTCACGTGCCCCCGTACCTTATACCATAGATCCGCCCCTGCATACGACTATCACACGATTCAATGTGACACATAAATTTACGGCTTCAATTGGTAACCATATTTCCAAGGAAAAATGGTGAATTATTATTCCGTTATTTTTATGTCATTCATGCTGAACTTTTTGTCAAACTATAGAATTATGGATCCCATTGCATTCCTCTAATCTCTTTATGAAGGAACAATTCTTTCTCCAATTTAGATGGGAACAGATTGAATACTAATTCATAGTATATATTTGTTTATTCATTTCCTTAACTGAAATTTTGTTCATCATTTTATTCATTTTGTTGTTCGATTAATTAAATTGTCATCAATTGAAGCCTTCATTAAATAATATCAGACATGAAATTTCATAAAATAATATACACTTATCATTTTTAAAACCATCTAAGTAATAATATTATTCATAATTTCTCATAGAATAATAGATCCATATTTTAAAAAAAATAATAATTTGGTGGTGTATTGCTCACAAATGATAGAAGAAGCTTAATAGTATGAATTTATTATTATTTTCCAACATATATGAATTTGATTGTGTATTGCTCACAAATGGTAGAAGAAGTTTAATAGTATGAATTTAATCTAAATTTGATTAAATTGTCATCAATTGAATTCTTCATTAAATAATATCAGACATAAATTTTCATAAAATAATATGGGCAATTATCTGAATTTGATGGTGTATTGTTCACAAATGGTAGAAGAAGCTTAACAGTATTTGACCCCCCAAAAAAAAAAAAAAGAAGCTTAATAGTATAATCAAACATTAAATGTTTCAAACAAACAACTAGAAGAAGAACAAACCAAATCAAACGAAACACTTATTCATTGTTCTCTCCTTCTTCTTCATTCAATAACTGAAAGTTTCTGACTCAAAATTCCACTCATCATGACTCATGAGTCACTAACAAGTCCAGAAATGTCTTTGATGATGCCCTCGGGTGTGGAAAATGAGGTTCCAGATATAAAATCCGTAAAGAGCGCAAGAGCCTCACTTGGTCTATGAAAAGGAACTTCATGGCATGAGCCTCTTACAGTCACAAAGATTAAATCAGCATACTGCTGAGCCCACCCTCCCACTGTCCAACCTAGCTAGTTTCAAATCATGACTGCATTTTCAAAACGTTTTCAAAACATAAAAACAAGACACAGATTTTCTCAATTTCTCAGTTAAGTTTGTTTATTAATACATGCATGTCTATATACCAAAGACTGTAAGGACTCAGAGGACGAAGGTTAAGTACATCTATGTTGTACAAAACATTTAACATGTTTAAATTTGATAAACTAATTTTACAGGATAAGTTAACACATACAAACATACAATCTCCACAGAACAGATTTGGTTGGGGTGAAGGAACTTGAGAACAGAGCCGGTGGTGTTGACAAAAGAACAACAAAGCTAGAGAAACAAATGATGATTATAAAGACAAGAATAAGAGATGTAAAGTGAACTGCCATTTGTTTTTGTATGTGAAACACTTTGTTCCAAATTTAAGCAAAAAAACACTTTGTTCTTGATAATTATTTCTAAAAACTTCACGTTTACATTAAGAGGAAGATAGCAAAACTAATTTCCCTTTTTTGAGATGCAAAATTATCTTCATATGGTCTCTTAGTTTAGCCTGAAGAGTGAGGTCTAAAGAGGAACTGATTAGAAAAAATGTTTGATTAGTTTACTAAAACCCATGTATGATATTGTCATGATACATGTGATTATTATTCTTTAATAATATACAAAAAGAAAGAAAAAAAAGGGAGTGAAATCTAGCTTTGTTTGTGATCATCTTTTCAATCATGTTATTCTTTTGTTGAATATATATATACTAGGTGATAACCCGCGCCTTGCGCGGAGTGAGAAATTATTGGAGTTTTTTAATTTTAATCTTACGATATTACGAATAACTAAGTTATATGCACAAAAAAATAGATGTAATTGTTTGATATCAAACGAAAGTGTGAATGTATATATAATGGACGGTTAATTGTTTAATTGAAAGAGCGTGTGTAATTGGTTATGTGTCAATTAGATTTATTTTATATAGAAATATATATAATAGCATGCAATTATTTCAATCAACTTATTCTGAAATCATCAATTTCTGGCACATCAATAACTAAGAATTAGTTTACCGTAAGGAAATGATGAGTCGAATGAATACGGAGGACCTATATTTATACTACGCTCCTCGAAACTGTGTAGGGCTTGAGCTATTATTTATTACTGAAATCAACGTAATTAATGTTCATATCCTATTTAATTTACAAAACTTGGGCGAGAAGGTGTACATTAAGACTAACCAAATGCACTAAACGAATTGATATACCTTTTTCTGAAATCATCAATTCTGGCACATCAATAACTAAGAATTAGTTTACCATAAGGAAGTGATGAGTCAAATGAATATGGAGGACCTATATTTATACTACGCTCCTAGAAACTGTGTAGGGCTTGAACTATTATTTATTACTGAAATCTACGTAATTAATGTTCATATCCTATTTAATTGACAAAACTTTTGCGAGAATTTGTACATTAAGACTAACCTAAATTTGGTATACACTATATCAAAACTTCCTAAAATTTCTCTAAATTTGTTTGTAAATGAAATATAGTCGAGTATTAATTGATTCGAAAATACTGAATCCATGTTCTAAATTCCTTATCCCTAACAATCACACTTTTGATAAAGACTGCTAACCATAATCGCTTCACTAATAAATAAGTAAAATTAATCCAATTTATAGCACTGAATATTTAGGCTTTTGTGGTTACTAAAATCGTAACATAAAAATATATCAAAGTTATTACAAATGATTGTTTTAACAATCACGATATCATTTGGCCTTACTTGTTACATTAAATTTAATGCCATTAAGAATCACAAATAACTTTAATATTGATTGGTTGAGATAAGTTTGAATTTGGTAGGCTGCATTCATTCAGAATCCGTCAAATTAAACATTTGTGGTATTAACATATATCTTTTATCATTTGTGGTGTTAGTGTTTTTATTATTTCAATTTGATATATGAATGCATTATATTATTTTTTAAACAAACCATATCACAACCCGTCAAAATCTATTTTTGTTACACATTTTATATCACAACATGTTAAGAATAACTCTCTCGATCAAATTTTTTTGACTCATACAAATAAGAAAGCATATAAATGTCGTATGGTTCACTAATCTAGTTTGACATAGTCATACATATATCATAAAAGTGTCATAGTAATGCATTATATGGTTCTAGGAGCTCTCCGATGATTTAAAAAAAAAAAACAAATATTATTATATGATATATAATTGTATGTGAAATATATAAAATTACCGATATTCAAAGTTTTATATAATATGATATATTTATGAATGCATTATATAATTTTTAAACATTTTATATCACAATCCGTATTATAGTTTTTGTTACACATTTTCTATCACAACATGTTAATAATAATTCTCGAGATCACATTTTAAAGCATCATTTATATATTGGCTAGGTCATCTAGATTTTGAATAATATTTGCAGCCTTCGATAATATAGAATAATGCTCTTCGATAATATTTGCAGCCTGTGATTATCACATTTTAATAACCACATTCTAAAAATGTTAATGACAATTAATATAGGAATGAATAATGCTTAAGAATAAAACCGATATAGAAATGATTAATGCATTAGCATTAAATGTGGCTCGTTTTATTTTTTAGATTAGGAAATAACAATGAAGCTTATATTATATTAATGTATCGTTAATGAAATGGTCAATGGCAATTTATGTAATTATTCTAGTAAACAAAAGGTTTTTAAATTTAAGATGTGAGGTTGAATGTGAAGATGACACCTAAAAAATGGCATAGCTGTAAATAACACATGAGCCAAAAGTTTCTTTTAAAATGGTCTCCTCAAATAATAGAAAGAGGATGTGTGTGTGTGTGTTAAATCCATGAAACTTGACAACACTTCTCAGGAGGTAATTCTAATTGGTGATCTTCATTACCTTTTGACATGTTTAATAAAGTGACTCAGCACTCTGATATCATAATCAATTATGTCAAAGTTACTTATTAGGTTTTTATTGGGTCAAGTCAAGTCTAATAATTTTATATCAAAATTTCATTTTAAAGCCCTCATAAAAACTTCAATCTGTATTTCCTACCAAACTATACTTTTTATCAATTCCTACCATTACAATTTTACTTATTCCTAGATTTTTATATCATTCATGCTGAACTTTTTGTCAAATTTTAGAATTATGGATCACATTGTATTCCTCTAATTTTCTTATGAAGAAATTGGTGGCCATATTTTAGGGGGGGGGGATGGTAAAATTCTTATTCCTCGATTTTTATATCATTCATGCTAAACTTTTGTCATATTTTAGGGGAAGGGGAATGGTGAAATTCTCATTCCTCGATTTTTGTATCATTCATGCTAAATTTTTTTTTGTCAAATTATAGAATTATGGATCCCGTTATATTCCTTGAATTTCCTTATGAAGTAAAGATTATGGATAAAAAATCCTTCTGTAATATAGATGAGGAAAATAGTGAACACTAATTCATATATTTTTGATTATTAATTTCCTCAACTGGATGTTTGTTCATTATTTTGCTCATTATTTGTTCATTTTTCTGTTCAATTAAATTGTCACCTACTGAAACCTTCATTAAATAATACCAGACATAAATTTTCGTAAAATAATATGTACAGTTATCATTTTTATAATCATCTAAGTAATAATATTATTCATCATTTCAAATAGAATAATAAATCCATATTTTTAAAAAACATACGTATATGAATTTTCTGGTGCATTACTCACAAATGGTAGAAGAAGCTTAATAGTATAATCCAACATTTAATGTTTCAAACAAACAACAAGAAGAAGAAACCAATTCAAACGAAACACTTGGAACACTTATTCATTTATCTCTCCTTCTTCATTCAATAACTGAACATTTCTGACTCAGAATCCCACTCATCATGAGTCACCAACGAGTGCAGAAATATCTTTGCTGATGCTGCTCACGGGTGTGGACAATGGGGTTCCAGATATAAAAGCATTAAAGAGCGCAAGAGCCTCCTTTGGTCTATGCAAAGGAACTTCATGGCCTGCTCCTCTTACCGTCACAAAGTTTAGACCTGCATACTGCTGAGTCCACCCTCCCACCTAGTTTCAAATCATGAAGACAATTCAAAACATAAAGAAGACAATGATTCTTACTTTCTCTGTTGAGTTTGTCTTATACCTGTCCGTCTATATACCAAGGACCATAAGTACTTAATGGACGAAGTTTTAGTGCATCTATGCTGTACCGGGTTGATGTAACTGGTACAACAGCATCTGCGTCTCCACTATTACCATATAATAAAACTGTTATAACCATCAAAGCGCCATGAACAAAAAGATATCAGAATATATTGAGAGAAAGAGACCTGAAAACCCAAATGCGTAGCCCTGCAGCTATAAGCTCATGGTAAATGTTTAAAACCGAGGAAGGAGAATCTCTCCAGTGTTCATTCACTACATCACTGCAAAAACCAAAGCTCTCCCGATCAGAATGTTAGAAAGACTAAAGATTTCTTAGGCTCATATTACCTGCAGGTATCCCATTTGGATGGTGCAAGTCCTGGTGGGACATGGAGAGCTTTTTGAACCTCTGGGAGATTGAAATACACTTTAGAATGTTTCTCCGTGCAAGGATCATATTGTTCACTCACACGGCTAGTCATCTAAGCAAAAGAAATAATGACATTACTTCAAAACGCTTACACTACCATCTCCTTCAAAACTAGATGTTAAGGTCACTTACTGGTCTTTTCTTTAGCAACATTTTTGACTGGGAAACATTTGCAACACAGGCCGGGGTGAAGACACTGTATTGGTCTATGTTACCTATTTCCTTGTCAGCTATCTCAAGAATCTTATCACACGCTTTGGAGGAGTGAATAAACGATTCAAAACCACACTGAAGTTTCAGTAAGCTGTATGTTTGGTCGGAGATAAAACCCAACGACCAAATATACTGGAAAAGACCAAGCCTGTCATGGAAATCATCCATCAGACCATTTCCTACCTGTAAACAAAACATTCATCAATAGAGTTTTTATAAACCTTTTAGATAAATAAAGAGGATATGCTCACCATGTAACCCTTGAGATTAATAGTGTTGTCGCCAGAAGCTTTGTTATGTCTTACAATGGCTTGACTCAGCTGAGGAATGTAATGTCCTAAAACAATCAAGAGAGAGTTTAAGCAACTATAGGATTTAAACATAAGGCGAGGTTTGATGTTTTTTCACCTGCATAACTCTCTCCAACTATGTAAAACTCTCTTCCTTTATACTCGGGATAACGCTCAACCCATTTCAGCAGAAACTTCAGTGAGTCTTGAGCTGTGAAATTCATGATAAAACTCACTATATAAACAAGAGGATCTAAATAGAAAAATGAGGTTAAGGAGGTTAATCATCATATTACCAGTTCTTTTATCACCATTGGTACGCAAATCGGATGAAGTGTTTGAGTATGAATAGCCAACTCCAACAGGTGCATCAAGGAACAAAATATTCGCAGCTGCAAACACATACAAAAGTTATGAGCCTTTTTGAATCAGAACACACTGCAACATGTCATTACCATTACCTTGGTTCCAAGAATATTGATTAAGGTAAAGAGTCTTCCCATCTGACTTAATGTGAAAAGGTCCTATCTCTTCTGCTTCACCAAATGCAACAGATGAACATCCTGGTCCTATATTCCATTTTCGGAATCAAAACAACAAAGTGTCACTCATAAATTTAGGAATCTATATGAACACACAGAAGGGCAACCACGTGTATCATGGCTAAAAGCAACAAAGTAATCAAAATCCAAACCAAAGTAGCTACAAGACAATCTCCAAAAGCAAAAAAAAGGAAAAAAAATCCAGATTCATATCTTAGCAGTAACGCATAGTGAATGAAACAGAGATAATGCTAAGATATGAATCTAATGCTAACCTCCGTTGAGCCAGAGAACAAGGGGCTTGGAGGCAGCATCATCGGTGGCTTCAAAGAACCAGTAGAAGAGTGCTCTTCCTAGTTTTTCATTAGTAGTAACGTAACCAGAGTAGTGAGCAAAGTCAACGTTGAAGTTCTGACCAGGCAACTTAGAGACCTTGTCCTGTTCTTTCTGAGACAAGACAGCTTCACAGCTGTGCAGATTGGTAATGGCTAAAAGAGCGGTAGCAAAGAGAGCGTTGACAAAACAAGATCCTCTGGTTTTAGCCATTGTTTGTTAATCCAAAAGATTCGGACTTTTTTTAGTTCACTCGTCGTGCCTGGTGTTGTTGTCTTAACGAATGTGGCGTTCAACGTGGTTGGTTTAGCTATTTCAGTAAAGACGTGAACGCAGAAAAAACGTATCGCGGCGTTTGCGTTTGCGTTGGAGATGGTTAAGACGTGTAAGAGGCAGAAACTGTATGTAAATGTGGAACAGAAGCAAGTGCCAAATGGTATCACGTGTTTTCTGCTATTGGACCGTTTCCAAGCAACGTCACATTTCTCAACGAAATTATTGCTTTCTTTGAAAAAAAGAAAAACTGAATTTATACATTATTTACGTTTGGTAAGGTATACAAACTATGCCATGTGAATATTGTTCTATAGATTAAATGAAGAATCTTGTGTGATTAACAAATCTTTATCTTGCATTTAAGTGACTCTATAACTGGAACCTTCCTAGACGATGACTTGATAAAAGCTTGTGGGGTCCTGCATTATCGGAGATTATTTGTGATTGTTGTTCCACGTTCGTAGCATATTCTTCCTTTAGCTTTACTTTTTTGGTAGGGATCTGGGCTTTAGGCTCTTCTTCTTTAGTCTGGAGCAAAAATTATGTGGTGCAGCCGGGACTCGAGATGTATTCACACTCTTATTATATAACTGCTAAAATGTAAACTATAACCACTAAATCACTTTGTAGCTCAAACAGATGCAACAGATGGAATGGATTATCTTACTCGTGTAAAGAATATAAATTGAATAAGGCCTCGATTGATATATCATATGATAAAGCAATAGTAGTATGTTGTATAAGCAATATACTGCAGAAACTGTATATTTTCATTAAAGTTTATAATAAAGTGATTGGTAGAGCAGTAGTAATATAAAATTTTAAAATTATCATAATAGTTAAAATATTAATATATTTTAAAAAAATAATATTTATATATATTAAGAGTATACTTTTTTATCAAAAACAATGAATCTTATTCGTTGTTAAAAAAAACAATGAATCTTATTCATTATATAAATTATATTTAAAAATGTAAAATATATTTAAAATATTAAATTCTTTTTGGATATAAAAAATGTTTTAATATTATTAAATTAATTATATATATATTATTTATTTATTTGTAGAATAGTAAATGATTTATGTGTAAAATTATCATAAAAATTAATATATGTTATATAATTTATTTATTAATGTATAAATAATATTTTATAAATATAACATATAAATATATATTATGTTATGTTTGCTATTAAAAATAATGAATGACATCTGTAATTATATAAATTATATTATATTCTAAATGTGAAATATTGTTTTTATAAAAAAACTTTAAAAAATTAATTAGAATTTTTATTCTTATTTTAAAATATAAATTTCTTTTTGATTATAATTTTTTTTATAATATTAAACAAAAATAAATTAATTTTATATAATTATTTTTCATTTTTATATTTCTATTTGCATATGCTCTTCCAAAAACTCTATAGAGAGCATTGAGCAAAGAGCATTTAGAGAACATTTGCATTTGGTAAAATTTTTTTTGACAAATATTGATTGGATAATAGAAAGCATATGAAACAACGCCCAACTCATCAAGAAATCGGTCTACCTCAGCATAATATCGACACGTTATCAGTTGCAAGTATGTAAAAACCGGTTTTATTAGTTCAGGTATCAAATTCAAAAATTTTAATAGATTAGATATAAATTTGCACATCAAAATAGTTTGGATATTGATCAGAAAATATGACTATACTTAAGGTACTAAATTCAAAATTTGTATTAGATTATGTATAAATTCGCACAGTGTAATAGTTTGGGTATTGATCAGACAAGATGACCATAGTTCAGGTACTAATCAGCCGTTTCCCCCGAGATTTTGCTGCACATTCTTGTAGCTAAAAGGCCAAAACAAACAAAGCATAGAGGCTAGTATGAGATATTTATGGGATTTTAAGTTTGTAACGAATCTTTATTTGGGTCTATTATTATAACTTCAATTTGATATTAATTAAAACAGAAACTAAATCTAGCATAAGATAATTTGGATAATTTTATGTTTTGTAAAACTACAAAGTTAACTAGAGAAATGATAAAACTTCAGTCTGGCAGTGGTTGATTTAATTTACTAATTGATTTTCTAATCAAAGTCAACATTCCTAACAAATTGTGTTTTAGTTTAGTTTTAGTTTCGTTAATTTAATTTATTTTAGGTTCACCAACCCATATGATGCTGTTATTTCATATTTGATATCTTTTGAAAAAAGAAACAAAATTTTATTAAGTTATATTATGTTATTAAAATAATTTTTTTTTAACATTATATTATGTTTTTAAAATAAAAAGATAAAAATAAAATAAAAACAATAATAATTGCAATAAAACAATTTAAAAATTTTTCTTTTAATATATCTTTTAAAAAATTCTTCTAAATAAATTTTTATATAAGATAATGTATATATTTAGAAACATTAACCAGGTGAACTAAATCGTACCAAACTGAAGAAAAATAACCAAAAGCAAAATTAAACAAAATTTTATAAATAATCGACCATGTCATATATCTCTGGAACGAAAAATAGAAACCAAACCCAGAACCAAATAGGTATTAAAAAATTTTAAATATAAATTATATATTATATTTAAATACTAAATATCCTAAAAAAAACTATTTATAAACCAAATTAGGCAAAAAAAAAACATTGTTTTAATAGTATTGATAGGTATAATGGAATGTCTAAGCCTCTTGAGGCATTGTTTTATAAATGGGATGACTACATAACTTCATTATCAAAAGATGTTTCTTTAAATCTAGGTGTATTTTATGATCAAGAGACAAACTTGATTTACAAAGCAGGAAGCAACATGATTGATCATCTATTATATGCATCACCATATTCTTCTGAAATGTTGGACAAGAACTTTGGCAAGGATGCGATTCTGGGGAGATTTAAGAGCAAATCGCTGCACGAGTCTTTCCTCAACATGCCCTGTGGTCTGCTGCTGGAAGCTGGATCAAGAACTCTCCTGTTGTCATTGTCCAGAACCATCCCCTTCTGACCACTGAGTTCAGACTTCAACCCACCCGAGTTTTCAGTATTAAGCTGTGAGTTAGCAGCGACGTTGAGATCCTTGTTGTACAAGAGGTTGAATAAAGAATCAACCCTTGGCATGAGAGACTTGTCATCTGGTGGTGCATCGAAATGGATATTATCACTTAGCAATTGCTGTTTCATGCTCTCGAATTGCTCCAGATGATTCCCACCAGCAGAATCAGAGAGTAGTCCAACGAAATCACTCACTGATATGGATTGTTGTAGTCCAGGTACTTTTACCTGACTCGAATCGGTTATGTTTCCTGAATCAGATAACAGTGCAAGGAAGTCACTCACTGACATGGATCGGTGTAGTCCAGCTACGTCTTCAACTTGGCTCGGATCCGTTGTAGTTTTTGGATCACAGAGAACTGCAAGGAAATCACTCAGTGACATAGATGGGCGATGTCCCATCTGACCACAATCCGTTGTGTTTCTTGAATTGACTGCTTCATTTGCACGAGCATCTATCACTAGAGATGAATCAAACAAAGAAGCAGAAAACGAAAACACACTTCACTTAATTTGGCTCAAGATAACTGAAAAAGTAAAAGAAACTAAAACGGACAGTTATCACAATACCTGAGCTGGGAGATGGTGCTTCATGAGACAGATAAATATGTTCAGAGGATGATTGAGCCCCAACAGGAGATGCTAAGTTCTGAGTCCCAGATACTAAAGGACCTGTGCTAAGACTAAAGTTCCCAAAAGGATTACCCTTTGCTTCATTCGGATCCTCAAAGATAGATCTCCGTGCATCAAAGTAAGGAGAGCCCATCGTTATCTCTGGCTCACGGCTTAAATACAACAGGCGATGATCACACTGAACAAGCTTCTCCAAATGTTTGTTCATTATCCCTTCAGCACATTGCAGAACATGCTTCCTAACAAATCAAAGTGAGACTATCTTTAACTGAATCTAGGACATAAACATTATTCTAGTTACATGAATAAAGAGCAGAACACACAAGAAATGTAAGTACCTGTACGTACTGGCTTGGCCATCAGTAAAATCTGAAGTTGCCTGCCACAAAGTATGCTTCCTAGGCTGTGGGTTTGTTTCCCGGAAAAACAAGGGCGCCCTAGAAAGCTGAAACAAAAAAAAAAAAGAAACCAGAGAATAGAGTTAAACAAAACCAAAGGACGCACGAATGAAAAGATCAAAAGTGAATCTTATACCACGAGAGTCAACGTCCCAGGTCCTTCTTCAGGACAGTTCATCTTCAATCCCACAATATCTGACCATTGAATCTCAATTTTACTCTTGAGACCCCGTTCCAACACTTCCCAAACAAGTTTATGTTTCGCAAAGTAACACTTCGCCACCAAATCACCTTCATACCTTGATTTATACTATAAAAAAAAAACAACAGAACCATGTTAAAAAAAAAAAAAAAACAGAACCATGAAACATATAACAAAACAAAAGTCATAAATAAGCTCACCTCCCACTTCCCAATCTTTAAAACCGTGGCAGGAAAGTTGGAAGCTTTCAGCTTCTCAATACTTCCTGGCGCCAAGTTCGATCCAGCAGTAATACAATTACTCTCTTGTTTAACACCAGAGCCTTCGGGTTTTGACTCACCACTCTGCGTTAGCCTCATCTGTATCAAATCCAACAAAGATGGACTCTTTCTAAGGCTTAGTCCAAGAGGACTCGGCTCGTCAAGCGGGTTATACTTGGATGGTGCCATTAGCGATGAGCTCCATAACTAAATCCATTTCAACAAATAACAATGATAAGCTAAAAGGAGCAAACTTTATAACTAAAATAAATTAAGCTTTAAATTGGGGATTAGGGAAAGAACAAACAAACAAACCCTAGATCGTTTGTTGAGAGGACCGTGCTCTTCTTCTAAATCATCCTCTGCGATCTCATGCTTCACCGGCAGCTCGTCTCGGCACTTCGTCGCTGAATCAGACTCCCGATTCCTCATTTCAACCATCCCCAATCAACAAAACTCTTTTCTCTCCGATTCAATTCTTTAAAAAAAAAGGAGGAATCTTTCACAAAGAATCAGCAAACCCTATAAATTTTGAGCTCTCTCTCTCTCTCTGTTTGATTGAAACGGTGGATTCTCCTGGCGGCTACCGACGCGAGTATCCGGCGATGTACTGACACGCGCTATCCTAATTTGATTAAATAGGAGATTGAGTTTAGAGAAATGACGGAATTACCCACCGATTTGTGGCTCTGGAAGAGGGGTAAGATAGTCATTTTAAGTTTTATTGATTCGCTGGCGGGCAGCGAGCCAGTAGTTGTGGATATATTAGATGGGACCCCTGCATTTGCTTGACGGCTATAGATAGTGAGCGTGCCACGTGTTACTAGTCATCACTTGTTAATTAATTAGCTTTTGTTGTAGTCACTAGTCAACAGTGTGTTCTTAAGCCACTTTGGGTATTCAAACATAAATGGATTACAGTCTTATCTTTAATCATATACAAACCAAACCCAGTCAAAATCAAATATTTGTAAACTTGTTTAGCAAACGTTGAACAGTATTATAAAGGAAATGTATTTAACTTTAAAAGATGAATATTAAAAATTTGATTTCCCATTCTAATTGTGGGAGAATAGAACAAGACTTTGAACTTTCTTTAAAATTAAGCAGAAAATAGAATGAAATTTCTTGAACCCCATCATTAAGTAGACTTTGTAGTCACTTTTCAATAATGTGTTCCTAAGTCACTTAGGGTATTCAAACATAAATTGATTACAGTCTTATCTTAATCATATACACACCAAACCAAATCAATCAAATGTTTGTCAACTTGGTTTAGCAAACGTAGAACAATATTGCAACAAAAAAAACGTAGAACAATATTATAAAGAAAATGTTTTTAAGCTTAAAAGATGAATATTAAAAATTTGATTTCCCATTCTAATTTTGGGATAATAGAACAAGACTTTGAATTCCTTTAAAATTAAGCAGAAAATAGAATGAAATTCCTTGAACCCCACCATTAAATAGACTTTGTAATCACTTTTCAACATTGTGCTCCTAAGTCACTTAGGGTATTCAAACATAAATTGTTTACAGTCTTATCTTAATCATATACAAATCAAATATTTGTAAACTTGGTTTAGCAAACGTAGAACAATATTATAAAGAAAATGTATAAGCTTAAAATCAATACTATTAAAAAAAAGTAATTTTTATCTACTTGCAAGTAGTCTAGGTTAGACCATTACATTTATTTAACTAGTTGCATACTCTCCGCGCAAGCGCGGGGCCGGAATCATTATGTTTGCGTATATTTTTTTCGATTTAGTGGTTTAGTGGATTCTTCTAATGACACCAAATATTAATGAAATGAAAAGAATGTAGTAAGAGTGTAAAGTGAAAATATTGTATATCTAATGTGTTAAATGTTATTTATATGCGAAGTAAGGTTTATAGGAACAGTTAGGTTATAATATAGTTTTTAGTGTGTAAAAATAGGTGTCTATTTTTTTTTTCTTTTTTTTGCTGTAAATAGTTTTTATATTGTATGTCAAAACTTGATATAATTCTATATTTATAGTAATTATATTTGTATTAAACGATTTATCAATTTAAAAATAACCTTAATTAATATAATAATCGTTGTTTAAGTTTCAGTAGATAGGTTTTTATATATGATTTTTTGTAAGTTTGGGTTTTGTTCATAAATTATGGGGCATTTTTATCTACGGCGTCATCGAGGAATCCATTCGCCGAAGTCTAGAGTCGGTGGTGAGGAATGTTTTCAATGAAATTATAGTAGTTATTAAAATGTAAGAGAAATTACATATTCATTTAATAAATAAGGAAACATACTTAAATTTTGTTGTTTTTTTTTTTATTTCACATACAAATTTTTTGAAAATATATTAGGAATGAGTTAAATGTTATTTATATGCGAAGTAAGTTTATAGGAATAGTTAGGCTATAATATAGTTTTTAGTGTGTAAAAGTAGGTGTTTTGTTTTTGCTGTAAATAGTTTTTATATCGTAGGCCAAAACTTGATATAATTCTATATTTATAGTATTTATATTTGTATTAAACGATTTATCAATTTAAAAATAACCTTAATTAAGTTAACATTCGTTGTTTAAGTTTCATTAGATAGGTTTTTATATATGTTTGTTTTGTAAGTTTGAGTTTTGTTCATAAATGATGTGGCATTTTTATTTAGGGCGTCATCAACTGTGAGAATCCATTTGCCGGAGTCTGAAATCGGTGGTGAGGAATGTTTTCAATGAAATTATAATAGTTATTAAAATGTAAGAGAAATTACATATTCATTAAATAAATAACGAAAATAATTAATTTTTGTTGTTTTTTTATTTTATCTCACATAAAATTTTTTTGAAAATATATATTAGGAAATATGTGCAATGATTTCACTTTTTGAGCTCTTAATATATATTATTCAAGCCTCATTAAGCCATCCACGTAGGTAGCCGCGTGGGATTCACTTTTTTTTTTGGTCGATTCGTTTTTGGATTCATTTTTTTTATTATTTTTGGGTTGAACTATATTATAATAGGATAGTTTTAAGGCTCTTTAAGCCATCCGCGTAGGCAACAGCGTGAGACTTGCTTTTTGTTTTTGTTTTTTTATTGTTCGTTTTTGCATATATTTTTAACTATTTTTAGTTTGAACTCGTTAAGCTTTAGGGTTTATCCAACTATTTTGATCTTTAAAACAATAAGTCATAAAAAAAAACATAAAAACCTTACAAACGAAAAGCCCATATGATAATAATCCAAATAAAAAAATAAAAAATAAATGATGGTTGCGTGGTTTGAACTCACGATCTTGCATGCTTAATTAGACACTTTATACCACTTGGCTAAAGTGTATTTCATTGTTTGTAATCATCTTAACAAGACTATAAATTTTTAAAAAATACTTATGGGATCCACAAAACTGCTGACATGAAGCGTTGTGGAGCCTAGAAAGTGTAATATTATAATATAGATTTTATGTTATTTTTCATACAATAAACTTAGTGATTATTAAATAAACACATAATATTAAAATATTATTAAATATATTCAGAATAAGATATCAAAAGATCTTCTTAACTTCTTTTTTCAAATTTCATTTTAACAATATATTTTAATATCTTTTTATTTAAAATATAGATATTTATTGTTTTAATATTATTTTAACAATAAATATCGTAAATATTAAATTCAACTACAAATTTATATTAACTCATTTTGATTTATAGAATAAGAAATAACCTTCTATAATATTTATATATAAATATTTCAAATAACTTAATCTATTTCATTATAAATTATAAACTAAATGACATTTACAGAATAACATATATTTATATGGTTTACAATATACTTCAACTTATTAAAAAAATACTAAAATAAGATATTTAAAATCAGAAATAATTTTATATTTTAATATAAATATCTAAATTAAAATATTAGGATATACTTTAATATAAAATACAATACTAACTTTAATTGACATTAATATTATTTGATTATATGGTACACTGAACTGTATATTATGATTAAAAATTATAATTTCTTGCAGATTATTTCATAAAAATGTAATTAATAAAAAAAAGATTCACATTATACCTTTAAAATTTTAAATATAATAAAAATTAATATGAGGCGGGCTATACAAATGAATTATCCTATTTCATAAAATTATATTTATAAAATATTTGATTTAATTAATATACTTTAAAACAAAAGTTTCTTTATAAAAGTATATATATATATATAGGGTAAATGAAATTTTGAATAAAATTTTCTAGATCATCTAAATTAGGTTAAAGTTAGACTTGAGCATTGAGGTATCCGTAAAATATGGGTCGGGCATTTTGAATTTTGGTTATAATTTATATCACATCATATGTCTCATTGTGCTCAATTTGTAAATACTGATTGAGATTTGGATATAGCACATTGGTTTTGAATCTAATTTGTATCACATCATAAGTAATTGTATATTGTTAAAATACAGTTTATAATGGTTTGGTCTGAATATATCTGAAATTTAATCCAAAATTTAAAGCAAAACATTAAATAATACTTATTTGTATAGAATCAGACATTTAAGGTACTTTTACAATTTAAATATTTAATTTTAGATATCATTCAAAAATAAATATAGAATTGAATATTCGATTTATATATTTATCTTTCAAATATATATATATATATATGTTAATTTGAACATTCAAATCGGTTTTTCAAAACTCTACAGGTGTTTTCAGGTTATCGGTTTGGGTTAGCTAATAATACTTCCGATTTTGATATGTTTTGTACCATTTCCACTCTACAAAACCTCTTCTGATATTTTTTTACATTTTAGACCGGGTATGAATATGGTTTTTGTAGTTTGGGTTGGATTTGGATTTCGGTTTATGAATTTTATAATCAAATATATTTTAAATAAGAGAAAATATCATTATATAAAATTTTCATCAAAAATTTATCCCGCGCAGATCAAAATCTAGTATGAGTATTAAAAGAAATTGACTTCACATTCTAATTGTGGGAGAATAGAACAAGACTTTGAACTTCCTTAAAAATCAAGCAGAAAACAGAATGAAGTTTCTTGAATCCCATCACGAAGGTGAGCTGACAAATGTCAATAAAGATATATCCAATAATTGGAACAAACTCATTTTATTTTATTTGAACTTTAAACATATGTTTAGAATGAGTTTCGTTCCAAGATTTATATTCTTTGCCACGTCCCATATTTAGTATCAATAATATAGAAAGCAAATCTCCAGAACTGAAATAGAATTTTGATGGTAAAACAGTTAAATAAGTTTCCTCGCATTTTACACACATATCATCATCATCTCTCTAATTGCAAAAAGCGTGAAAATGATTTCCATCCGGCGATATTCAATGTGAAATATTATAGGTCCTTTATCTACGGACGTCCCTCTCCTATAAAGAATGGCAAATGTAGAAAAAGAAAAGAAAATGACTAATAGCTATTCTTGTCAAAGTATAAGTCACACACAACCAAAACAATACAGAAATGCCCTCTTGTATCTTCTTTCTCCTCATCGCTCTTTTTATTTTTGTGTAAGGGATTGATTCTTGTTTCAAGCTATCCTCTTTAACCTATCAACCCCATTTGAAAAAAAAAATTGAAAAGAAAAAAAGAAGCAGTTTTGTAAATGGAGGATGATATAGTAGTACCCTTAAACGTTTCTTGATCCTTCTTCACCATTTAAAGATCAATCTTTCCTTAAAAGCATAATGCCTGTGCCAGATCCAGGGGCTGGGCGAGTATTCATCTTTCTCATAACCTTATTTCTGTTCCTATCAATAGCTGTCGGAGGAGGTTGTTTAATTGCATACACAATCCTCCCTTACCCTCCAGCTTGGCTCTCTTACCTCGGCATTTTCTTTGTTTGTCTCCCTTGGTCCTTTTGGATCATAACCTTTGCCTACCGTATCCTCTCCCGCACTTTTGGATTTAGGATGGTCATTGGATCCGGTGGTAACAACAGCACCGCGAATGTAGAGCCAACGCCGCGGGATGTTGATCCTCCAGAGCAATCTTTAGAACCTCCTGGTGATGATCCTGAGGCGATAGCTCACCCACAAGGGCAAGTTGAAGGGAACCAATCGAAGAAACGAATGTCAACCTCCAGCAGTTCTGTCGGTTCACATGAAAGTGAGTTGCCACTAGCCATTTCTATGGGTTCTTGATCATACATGAAAAAGGGATATTGGTATAAATATATATCATCATGATGGAGATGCTAAGCAGCCTCTTGAAAGCATGGGAGATTTTGCTGTTTTTATTTTGTATCTTGTACAAATAGATTTGTAGATTCGACAAAAAAAAAGAAGAAGGAAGATTACACCTTACCAAAGGTTCTCCTCAAACCCAAACCCTAAAAATCAAGAGAGGAATGTTTCTTACAAAGGGTTTAGATTAAGATGTTTTGGGTGTGGTACATGCGTAATGCTGATGTTAGGTAGATTAACGTTTAGTTTCATGAAATTTATGTACTTTCTGTATATATCTGTGATTTGTTTGTTAATATAATTCTGTTGTGAAGCCTTCGATTTTCGGGCTAACACTCTTGGAGGTTCTTTAACTTGACTTAGAAGTCACCATATCGGATGCTGGCATATGAAAATGGGTCACTTTATGTTTATGATGATGGTGAAACCAAAATATATAGTCTCTTTCATCTTCTTGATACTAATTGACAAAACAACAACAAAAAAAATATGCGTTCGGAGAGCATGACATGCGTAATCTGGATAGGAGCTTTATGAGATTGTAAAGAGAGTACGAGTTTCGAATTCTAATTCCGTTAGAAAAGAAACATACTCATAATTATATAAGGTTTCCCAATACTAATCATCTCACAGTCCTTTGAATAATATGAAAAGCTTCAAAAATTTGACCCAACGATCTGAATTAATACGGAAAATAAGTATTTAAAATCTAAATATAAATATTCAAAAACTTAATACTGAATTTATTTTGATATCATATATATACACTGAAATGTATTTAATTCTAATATAAAGTCTTATATAAAACGTAACTAAATGGAACCTGAACCATATAAACCCGAACGGACACATTTTAACTTGAATATCCGAAAACCTCAAAATTTTGATCTAAATTCAAATGTCCAAATTTATTATTCTTTTTAGTGCAAATGTTAAGATTTATAACAATTTTTTGAGTCTACATTATTGTGACTGGCCAGTTATTACTAAAGAGGATGAAAGGACATAAATGAAAAATAAAGCTACAGCAGGGAGAAAAAGTCTTCAACTCAGAGAGGAAGTGAAAGGAGGCAATCTCGCATGAACCGATCAACGTACACTTGCAAAGACTGCAGCTTCAGTTGATGATTGTTGCCTGAAGATACGATTATTCTTCTCACACCAGAGATTATACACGACCACCTGCAACAAAAGTTTTAGGATAGAACATGTTCTCCTATAAGACACAAAGCGTTGGTGTTGAAAGAGAGAAGCCATCAAGCGGAAGGAATCCAGAGAGGCAGGACATCCAGCCACAGAAATGAGTCCATATTGACTTTGCGAACACACATGTGTTCATGTGTTTCCAATCCATTGGAGAGCAAAGATGAGGGGGACGTTCATTCCCCAAGAAATCAGTCTATTTCGAGTAGATAACTTGATTGTACAGAGAGCCAAGTCACACAAAAGTACATCTAGGAATTCTCTCCTTAAACCATATCAGATGTGACCATGAAACCGTAGGAGAGACCTCACGAATGAAATTCCAAGTCCTCTTGAACGAGAATTTCCATAAATAAAAGTAGGGGACGAAGCTAGACAATTTATCTGGATGCACTATCTCGTTAATAAAACATAAAAAAGTAGAGAAGAAGGAAGCAAACTTAGGGCATCCTCAATGGTGGATGCACAATTTCATTTTTTCATCTCATCCAACAGATTTTCTATGTTTTCTTTAACAAAATTTAAACTATCTATAATTACTATGGGTGCACAAATTCCCATATAGTGTATACCTCTGTTTCGCCCCTGAATAAGAGCATGATCATTCCTTCAAAGGAATCGGTTATCTCCACGCAAATCAGCTGAGGGATCCATCATATATAGAACCACTTGAACTTTTCGGCTTCATCGGATTTAGCCGGTGGTAACATCCAAATCTATTATTCTTAATAAAAAGTAGAAAACAACAAAACAAATATAACAAAAGTTAAATATTAAATTCATATATATATATATATATACACAAAAGATTGATGTTTAAGATTGTTCACATATATTAAAAAGTACTTATTTTTGTTTATAACTTTTTAGTTTCACTTTTAGTTAGTTTAAAATTATGATTCTGAATAAAATTTAACCATTACATTTTTAACTTTAAACTTATTTTTATTAATTTTAAAGTAAATAACATTAATTAAAAATTGTATATCAATCTTTCAAATACAAAAAATTAAAAAATGTTATTATTTTTTAAATACGGAGGAAGTAGTTATATATAACTTAAATTACTCTCTTAAAATAAATTATTATATTAATATTTTTTTCTACTTATAAATAATAAGTTTTTCTTTTCTTTTTAAAAAATGGGTCTTCTTCTCTTTAAATATTTACGAAGACACACCTGTAGTTTTTAATAATTTGTCCGAAAACCCTAAAAAGAGAAAATAAAAACAGCCGCACCACTCTGCGCCGCGTAAGCGTTCTCTCTTTCTCTTTCACAGAAACTCTCTCTCTCAGGTAAAGCGTCTCCAGTCCCTCTCTACAGAACCATTTCTGTCATTACGGTTCTTGTGAGCTAGATAAGCTGAAAGTCTGAAACTTTGATGCTTCTTTTGTTGACTTGAACCCACAATGCAATGTCCTAATTCTTGGTGTGGCGCTTAAGCAATGCGACCTTGCTGTAAATGTGGACAAAGATTGATACTTGTAGGCTTTTTTTAGGTGGGCACTCTTTAAGTTTCTTGATGCTCATAAAGGATCCTACGTATATAATTGAATTCATCTTCGTGATTAGAGCTCATGCGTTTTATTCATCCGTCCATGTATTTTTTTTTTATTTGAGCTTTGAGTTCTGAGGTTGAAGTTTTCAGGAGTTGTTAATGTTTTATAGAGAGGAGACTCCAGATTTGAAGGTCATGAGATTTTGAGGTTCACCAGAGAACAGCTGCTTCAGCTTAAAGAGGTAACTAGAATCTGTTTAGTTTCTTAACTAAGCGGCAGGCTCTGGTTAAAGTGTCTCTGACTTGTTAGCATTCTTTAATTCCGTGTGTAGGTTGATAGATTCGCTTGAACTTAGTCATTCACCATTGTCCCTGTGTAGGCGGTCGAAGTCTCTGAGTCAGTCCTGAAGCTCAATCAGGAAATTTCATCTGGTCCTTCTCCTGCTTTGGTGAAGACAGAGGTTCCATGGTCAGCTAGAAGAGGAACTCTTTCAGAAAAAGACCGAGTCCTCAAGAGCGTGAAAGGGTATTCTATTCTGCATGTCTTTGCCTTTGGGATTATTTGCTTTACATAGTTGATTGAATCGTATAATCCTGGTTCTCTGCAGTATTCTGAACAAGATGACTCCTGAGAAGTATGATCTCCTTAAATGTCAATTAATAGACTCTGGTATCACTTCTGCAGATATCCTAGAGGTATATTCCCAATTCCGTGTGCATTCGGCTAGTTTCTTGCTCTCTCTCTCCACATCGTAATCATTGTTCCTATCTTTAAATTCAGGGAGTGATACAACTAGAGCCCACATTTTGTCAGATGTATGCGCTTTTGTGTTTGATATCAATGGAAAGCTACATTCCTTCTCATCAGAGGAAGTCGGTGGAAAAGAAGTAACATTCAAAAGAGTGCTTTTGAATAACTGCCAAGAACAGTTTGAAGGCGCTGCTGACAAATTGAAGGAAGAAGTCAGACTAATGACTGATCCAGAACAAGAGATGGAGCGCAGGGACAAGGAAAGAATGACTAAGCTTAGAACATTAGGAAACATCCGTTTGATTAGTGAGTTTCTGAAGCAGAAGATGGTGCCTGAGAAGATAATTCATCACATCGTCCAAGTATGATTGCTCTCTCTCTTCCTATGGCTACTAGCTTGAACTCAGAAGTGCTCAGCAGACAAAACCAAGTCGCTTCTGGATGAATATCTCAATGTCCGTCTATTAGATGAGCATTACAATGCATGGAGGAGCTTAAATCCCCATCTTACTAGCCCGAGCTCGTCAGAAAAGCTATCTCCCTCGGATTGGAGAAAAACTCACCGTGCGTAGCGAAACATTTGGTCTCTAAGAATGTTATTAGTCTAAAGACATAGGGAGTGGCTGTGTGGTTTACGGGTCTATGCTCGATGACATTGGGATTGATCTGTCAAAGGCACCAAACAGCTTTGGGGAGATCCTTGGGAGTTTGGTTATGGCCAATGCTTCTAGTTTTGAGATGGTGAAAGAGATTCTAATGAAAATTGAGGATGAGTGGTTTAAGAAAGCAGTCTTGGATGCTGTGTTAAAGAGTGTAAGCTGGTATCTGTTGGCTGCGCAAGCAGCAGAAGTTGAGGCTTGCCTTAGTTTAGTGTAAATACATGTTTTGATCAGGTTAAAGACCCAAACTCGCCAGAAAGCAGAGGAGCACTTTCTTGATATTGTTAATTAGAGAAAATGTTGAGTTTATACAACACTTGTGATCTAGATTAGTTTCAGTTTTGTCACTTGGTTTTGTTTTCTCTTGATTTGTGTTTTTTTTTTTTTTTTTGCCTATGTTCCTTTTGGTACATACATCTTGGTTTTGATAAGTTCAAAATGAGGAAGACGAATGTATTATGTTGAATGTGTAATATTAACAATCTTTGACCGAACCTTTTAATTGATAAGCGAGAATGGTGTTTGAATAAACTATATGGTGTTCTAGATTAATGAGAAAGTGTAAATTAAGAATATTATTCAAGTCCCTACTAAACTATTTTATAATACTAACTAGGACCAACTAACTATACCCTGCATGTTGTATAGTTTTTAAAGGTTGGTACCATGCAACAAATAATGATTCATAGCATACGGAGCAAATATATTATAAAGCAGTCATCATAACTTCTTTACTGATAGATAAGAGTCTCTCCTAGAACAAACTTCAACAACAGACGACAAAGAGAGTTACACAAGAACTAGCATAAGGTTTTCATGAGATACTTCACTTATTACATTACCATATTGTTCTCTCTAGATACTTACTTACCACAAGATCATCCCAAGATCCTTCTTTTCACATGGACAAGCGAGGGACGATGAAGTCAACGAGAAGACCCGTCGGCTCAATGGTCTGAGACCCATCACCATTGTGCGCTAGTCTGGTGAACATTTGAGTCAAAGACACATTGGTGAATGACGTCTTCTTCTTGTAGCATATCTTCACTCTCCCAACTACATCTCCATTGACATCATTCACTGATACTAGGATCACATCCCTAAGCCCAACGTAGCTTGTTCCATTACTCAACGGCCCTTGGTAAACTCCCTTACCACACAATGACACAACAAGATTAGATGAAAAAGCTTTTATCAATACAAAACTAGCTATAGAGAGAGAGAGAGAGAGAGAGAGGCACTGTACATTTTCTCCGACAAGATCAATCTCAGGACTGAAGACATGAAGTTTAGCTCCTACAGGTCCATGCGTCAACAACTCAAACGCGTCTTCAAGTGTCTTAACCTCGACCACTTCTCCTTTCACGGGAACACGAGGCATGAGAGAAGCAAACGGTGGAACTTTGGAAACACATCCCAAATGACCCCAGTGTTCATATCTCGGTATCCCTTCCTTGAAGGCACACTCAAGGCAGTCCTTGACAGTAATCTTGGCGCGGCGTTGCTTCTCTTTTGCCATCTCTTCCAGGTCAGACTCGGTCTTGGGAGAAGCGTTGTCCACCAGATACTCAAGACAGTCCTCCATGGTAAACGTGGAGCGTTGTTGTGGGCCCTGCTGCACTGGTTTCTTCGCAACAAGAGCGTTGTCCACGAGGAACTGTGCTGAGTACTCAGTAAACTCACGGTCCAGCTTAAGGATGACACGAGCAGAGCTGATCAGATTAGCAGCTACTGTAGCGGCTCTCTCAGCTGGATCTACAAGACAAAACACAAACCATAAATGCATATATAATACTATCAGACAAAAAAACAAATCAGAGTTAGTGGTTTGAAGTTACCATCCTCTACTTTGGCAGCCGCAGCTCGTTGGCAATCAGGGTGACATCGAGACATCTTCTGCAACAAAATAGGAAACCAAAGAGAGTGTAAAGATTGTTGCTTTCCATCATCAGATTCAAACACAAAGAAGATGTATATAAAGCTAACATCATAGAGACATCTTGCAACAAATAACAAACCAAAGAGAGTGTAAAGGTTGTTGCTTTCCGTCATCAGATTCAAACACAACGAAGATGTATATAAAGCTAACATCAAAGAGAGAGACCAGCAGAAGAACGCAAAAGAAGACAATCGAAATCAAAGAGACACATCACAACACAACACAACACAATACAAAAACAAAAACTTGTTTCAAGTCCGTTGTATGAAGAGAATAAAGTCTGTTGCTTTCTATCAGAATCAAGCAGAAGAAGACATTCACAGTTCACAAAGAAGATCTATAAAGCAAAAGACCATAGAAAGCATCACTGAACTTGAAGAAAACTTCCAATCTAAGAAAGAAAAAAACCCTAAAACGTTAGCTAAGCCAAAAGTTAATCAGTGTTCACTAGATGTAGTACGAGAAATGCCAAATCACAAGCGAATACTTTACTTGATGAACAAGATAAAAGAAAGTTACCTTAGTGACTTGGTGAGACTGAGACAACAACTAAGGAAGGTGAGAATCAGTGGTAGTTGTGGTGGTCACAGTTGGGTCGCAGATTGTCTTTCACACGTATTGAGAGCAATTAATAGAACTTTCTAGAAACCCTCAGCTCACTATTGATGAAACGAAGTCAGATTAATTCCTTTCTTTGACGCGGTGTCGTTTAGACTCTGCTAATTGCTTCCTTTTTCTCTTGGATCAACCAAGTGTGCTAACGTGAATCGTTAAGTAGGAATTTACAGAAGGGAGTGTTGTTTAAAAAAAGGAATTTACAGAATTATAAATATATTTCTATAAATGTGACAAAAACGATCTATATTATTAAAAGAAAATAATTCCCAAAAATCTAGTTAAAAAATTGTTTCAATCTATTCATTGTTAGTTTAACCTATTATAACTGAGTATATTATGGCAACAATTAAATTCTGATACATTTTAGTAAACTCACATTATTTTCACTCAAAAGTATTTTTAAAAGACCATGACTTTATATGACTAGAATATTTATCACTTATCTATATTGATTTTAAATGGATTTATAACCGAATAAGATTAAGCTTTTATTTTTATTTTTATACCATCATATTTGATTTCCGTCATTAACACTTTGATAAAACGAAGATCTCTTTAATTTTTTTTAAAAATATATTAACTAATAGCCCAACAAAAAAGGTTAATAATAACCGATATTTTTAAAAAATCTTAATTCTAATTGTTTATGATTATAGCACCTCATCCAACTATTATAAATAAACACTCATATTTAAGTTATCAAATATCATACTTTTAAAATAAGAATAACGAATTATAAAACATAAATAAAATTTTTAAAATGTGAAACGAAAATGATGGTAACTTTAAATCAGTTAAAAAGAAAAAAAAAAATATACACTTTTAAGCGCATATAACGGCATATCTAAATCTAGTTAATACATTATAATATAAACGAATTGAAATATAAAGTCACTCATTTTGAAACGATAATCTCATTACTTAAGTCTAGTAATTACTTAATAAACAAATGTATCTCATTTTGTTTGGATCAAATACATTTATATCGGTTATAAATAGATAAATGGAAATGGAATAACGTGGAATGATCTTATTCAGTTTATTCCACAATGTTGTACATTTTGCCTTACATGAAATATTATTTCCGTCACTTCTATTACAAATAAACAAAATTCAAAACAAATCATTCTATCAAAATTTGATTATGAATGAGAAGAATAGATGTTGTCAAAAGAAAATGAAGAGAATAGATTATAGATGTATTATTTATTATTCCACTAATTCATGATTTATTTCATTTACAGGCATATAGACACGTATCCAGACGTATATATTCCCAATTCCATATGCATTTGGCTTGTTTGTAGCTCTGTCTCTCTTCACATCATAATCCTTGTTCTTATCTTTATATTCAGGGAAGGAATGTTTGATATCAAAGGAAAGATACCTTTCCTTCCCATCAGAGAAGCCGGTGGAAAAGAATGCTTTTGAATTAACTGCCAAGAACAGTTTGAAGTAGGGCTGGGAAAAAAAAAACCGAACCCGAAAATCCGAACCGAATCCGACCCGATAAAAAGAAACCGAACCGATCCGAACCCGACATAAGTACCGAATGGATCTTGTTTTACGGTATTTCGGGTTATGGGTATTACCCGAACCGAACCCGAACTTAAATGGATATCCGAAAGAACCCGAAACTTTAAAATTCCAAAAAAACTTGTATCATATCCAATCTAAATTTCTAATATGTTTCCAAAACATATTAATATATTATTGAGTACCTACAATAATTAGTTATGATATAAATAATTAGCTCAAATATTTAGTCTAATATATAGTGTTATTTGGTTAATATTAATGTTTATGATTAACATTACATTTGAAGTTAAGTTACGAATAAATTTGTTTTGAAGTTTATATAATGTTGTTTTTTAAAGTTTAAATAGTACTTCTTATGTTTATAGAATTGTTAGTTGTTAACTTTAATTTCTTTATGTTTCATTATGTATTATATTTCGTTCCTACAAGGCTTTGGTTTGTCATTAATCATGATATGTTTAGTGTTGTCACATATAGTTCAATGACAAATCTTATATGGTTGATAGATGAGTTTCACAATATTATTTTGAAGGAGAACAATATGGTTTGTAGAAGTTAAATACACAAATTTAATAAAATGATTGAAAATATAGTGAGTTTAATTGAGTATAAATTAGTATTTTTAGAACCGATAACCCGATTAGTATCCGAAACCGAAACTATTTCGGGTTCAACCGGATCTTGGACATGTTACTAAACCGAACCGAACCCGACTATATCCGAACCGAATCCGACCCGAATTTTTATAATATCCGAATGGGACTGAAATTCATGAACCCGAAAACCCGAAACCCGAATGAACCCGAACCGAAACCCGATTGAGACCCCGATTTCCCAGCCCTAGTTTGAAGGAAGAAGTCAGACACTAATGACTGATCCAGAACAAGAAACGGAGCGTAGAGACAAGGAAAGAAGGGCCAAGCTTCGAACGTTAAGAAACGTCCGTTTGATTGTTGAGCTTCTGAAGCAGAAGATGGTGCCTGAGAAGATAGTTCATCACATTGTCCAAGTATAATGACTCACACTTTGCTTTTGTACCGTTAAAAGCTTGGAGCTCACGGTGTTTTTTTTTTGTCTGGTCACAAGAGCTTTTAGGACATGATAATAAAGCTTGTTCGGCAGAGGAAGAAGTAGAGGCTCTCTCTCAATTGTTCATTACTATTGGATGAGGCATTGCAATGCGTGGAGGAACTGAACTTACCATCCTGAACTCGTCAAGGAAACCCACCTTGTGTTGAACCAGTGGTGCGAAAATTTTGAATCATCTATCTGGTCTCTAAGAATGTTCCAAGTCCTAAAAGACATAGGTAGTGGTTGTGTGCTTTACGGGTCTATGCTGGATGGCATTGGGATTGATCTGCTAAAGGCACCAATTAAGCAACTTTGTGACAGAGTCACAACGGTCATCATCAAACCGGCCCTTTATACCGGTCCTTATCCATTTTCTCTTTTGCTATTTCGGTTTAATAAATTGGGGTTTGTCCCATTCACTTTGGCTTTTTCTAAATGACAGCTAATGAGTCAAGTGTGACTGTTGCTGAGAATCTCCTTTATGTACCTTGACTGCCATGAGCAGAGAATTATCCAGAAAATCTATTTCATCTTATCTCCTTCTCTCTCTTACGCTCTCAAACAGATCTCTTATCATTGAAATCTTGTTCCTTTAAGGTGAATCTTCTTATCTTTATATTCATCTTCTAGGCTAGATTTCCCTTTCTTCGGCTCTTGGTGAGTTCNTCTCCTTTATGTACCTTGACTGCCATGAGCAGAGAATTATCCAGAAAATCTATTTCATCTTATCTCCTTCTCTCTCTTACGCTCTCAAACAGATCTCTTATCATTGAAATCTTGTTCCTTTAAGGTGAATCTTCTTATCTTTATATTCATCTTCTAGGCTAGATTTCCCTTTCTTCGGCTCTTGGTGAGTTCTAGATTGGTTTATATCTTGTTTTAACCCCTGCTGTCACATTGGTATCAGAAGTCATCGATCCTTGGAGCTGTGTCAATGGTGGAAACACGTCTTCAGGAACGCTCTCTTACCGAACAAGTCGATGAGATCCGTTCACTCCACGATGTCTTAGCGGCGGAGGTGAAGAACCAATCTGATTCTCTCAACGCTCTATTCGACCGCCTCGAAGCCATGATGTTCAACAATATCTCACCCCCTCAAGCCTCCGGCAAAGCCCCCATGGACCCTGGCCCCTCCCACCCTCCTACACCCCTCACCCACACCCCTTCCCGCCCACCAGATCCACCCGACCTCACCACTTACAATGACCGTTTCGACAGCAACCGTAGCACACCTCAACACCACGCTTTGGCATCTCGTCTCAAAAAGATTGGGTTCCCATCGTTTGATGGCTCTCAACTCAGGGACTGGATTTCTAAGTGTGAACAATTCTTCGACATCGACGGTACTCCTCGGGATATCAAAGTTCGCTTAGCCGCGTTACATCTGACCGGTAAAGCCAGCGAATGGCATCACAACTACATGAACACGAGGTACGGTGTTTATCCCTCTTGGACTGAGTATGTTGTCGCCATATCCAGCCGTTTCAGTAAGCTTTATGATGACCCCTTAGCGGAGTTGGTTGATCTAAAGCAAGGCTCAGACTCGGTGACTGATTTCTTAGACAAGTTTGAATCAGCTCGAATGCGTATAATCCTACCCGAAGCCCACGCCCTTAGTATTTTCCTTGCAAACTTGAACCCACACCTATCCCTACACACACGTCAGTTTGAAGTCACTACCATAGCTGGTGATGCTAGAATAGCTATGTTACATGAATCATCCCTTCTCCACACCCCAGTGAAACATACAAAGACTCCCTTCAATCCTAACACTCGCCATACCCCTCCCTACTACTCCAAACCCTCCACCAACCCCCCTTTACTCCCAAACCCCACCACACAAAAACCAACCCTGAAACCTAACCACACCCCTCAACCTACTGAT